CCAAAAAGGGGGAGTTTTTCTGGGTTTAAATAAAAAAACATTTTCTTTCCCCCCCCCCCCCCCCTTTTTTTCTGTTATTCCTCTATGTACGAAGTGCTGTACACGAGTCTTTCGCTTTAATATAGATGGACGGGTGGATGGAATGGGACAATAAGTTCTTTTTTTATTTTTTTATTATTTTATTATTTTTTATTTTGAAAAACAAAACAAAACAAAACAAAAGGGGGAAAGATGGAACTTAACCAAAAAAAATAACGAGAGATCGAAGGAGTGAAAGAAAGAAAGAGACGTGCATAGTTAATTATAACTTAATGGAATGGTTTTTATATCTTTCGTATATCATTATGAATATAAAATATAATTCTTAGACAACATATATATATATACTAGGGAAATAAACGTTCAATTTTATTTTGTCTATTGTTCCAGTTTATATGTATCTATAAGGAATCAAATGTGTATAGCTTTATATAAAATCGTAACTCTCCCCCTTTTCCCACAAATGGGATGGATGAGGCCTGTTCCTTCGGGGGGTTCAAACGGCTATTTCCAATTCCAATCCCAGTCTCAACCATCATCACCATTATCATTCCCACTCTCAGAATTACAATCGTAATCATAATAATCATAATCATCATCATCGTCATCATCATCATCAACATAACCTGCCAAAAGCCCCGTCCCCTCCCCCGCCTCCGCCAACCTCGCATCCTCGATATTCCAAGATTGCGCATGTCTGGACTGTTGTCGTGAAACCCAACTGCCTTCCCCATCCCCATCCCCATCCCCATTTTCTCCTCCCACCCCCTGACCCTCAACAACAGCGTACTCATCCGCACCAGCGCCAGAACCAACGTCTTTCCTCCGCTCCTTCACCAAAGCAACGTACATCGCACTCGCCAAAATGATCATCGACCCAGCCAAGCTAACCGGCGACAGCGTCGCATTGAACACCACCTTATCATACAACACCGCAAAGAGCATCTGCGTATACACCATGGTTGTCGCCTTGGAGCCGTGCGTGGACGGCTTCGCAATATCTTCTTTCTTCACTTCTTCATCCCGCCGCCGCCCTCCTCCCCCCCGCACCCTTTCATCACTCACTACCTCGCCGACCTGGCCCCCCACCGTCCCCTCCTGCTCTACGTCCGCAGCTATATCCACACCCGCACCCGCACCCACGCCCAAAAAGCCTCCAACCTCCTTCTCCCCGTCTCCCGTAGCCGACGCGGGAGGCACGTACGACAACCCCGCCGTTAGCAAAAATTGCAACAGAAACCCGCACGCCCCAAGGCCCAGCAGGAGCAGAAGCTCCGCCATGTTGCCGGGAAGGCGGAAGCTGATGCCGGGTATCAGCGCGACGGCCAGCAGCGAGATGATCGTGGTTAGGCCGCTGAAATACGTGACGCTGACGAGCGGGTGGGCGCGCTTGCCGATGACGCGGATGGAGGTGTACGCGGCCGTCGCACCGACGACGCCTAGGAGCGCGGCGAGAATGCCGAGGGTGCGTTTGTAGTAGGCGTCGTCTGCTGAGCCTGCTGGGCTCGCTTCAACGTCCGTCGATGACCATGAAGAAGACGATGCGGATACGTGCGAAGAGCCACGAAACAACGACGCTGGCCGTGCAATTAGCACAACGCCCAGCAGCGACGCTAGCGCCGCCACCTGCTGTCTGCGCGTGAAGGTCTCGTTGGGCATGGTTAGCGAGCAGACGTAGCAGCAGCCGATGGGGGCTAGGAAAGTGAGCACGGTGGCTTCCGAGAGGGCGAGGTGGAGCAGCGAGCTGTACAGGCCGAAGACGCCGAAGAAGCCGCTGATGCCGCGGAGGAAGAGGAGGGGCCGGATAGAGCGGATGCCAAAGGGGTGTGGGACGCGGGCGTAGAGCATGTAGAGCAGGCTGAGGAGGACGGTGATGCCCATGCGCGCGAAGAGGATCTGTGAGGGGATGTTGTCAGATTGTTTCCCTTCTCTTTTTTTTCTTTTTTGAAGGTTCTTCATTGGGGGGTGGGGGCGGGGTAGAATGATCATGTCATGATATATTATCATTTATCAAAGAGTGTATACATATAAGAAAGAAGAGACGACGATGAAAAAAAAAAAGACACAGTATTACAAACCTGAAATGGATGCATTCCTTTCCCATGACTCCCATCCAATTGAAGAGTGCGGGTCATGACGTTCATCGACGCGCCGAAGAACTGAGCCAGCATTACCATGAGCATCCCCTTGCTCATGAGCCAGGATTGCCAGAGCTTGCGGCGCCATGATTGCACACGGCTCCCCTTGTTGCTGCGTTGGGGGCTGGGTGGTTCGGGACCGGTTGGCGGAGTGCGTTGGAGGAGCGGAGCTTGAGAACCGGATACATCATCGTTCGTTTTATTCTCCGGACGAATATGACAGGGTAGGATGCAGTCAGGATGCGCACAGGCTGAGGGAGCAACTCCAATGGCTGTGCGTGGGCGAGATGAAGACAATAGGCTTTCGTGTTCTCTGGCGCCGTCTCCCCGCGAAGTTTGTCCACCAGTCATGATTATTTATCTATCTTCTCTCTGTGCGTATTGCCCATCAACAGGGCCCTTTAAGGGTTGTTGGATAGATGAACACCCTGCGAAGCAATCTTGTGGGCGGGCAGTTGTTCCCAGAAGATAGGACGTGGAGTTTCTTCTTCTTCTTCCCTTTTTTTTTTTTTTTTTTTTCCAAACTGCAAATTGTCCTTTTGGAGAATATGTTCATAGAGCGGTCTATGCGCCAGGCACAACGCACAGGAAACTAAAATCCGCACGAGAGGGGAGACTTCATCCCCTCCATTTTCCTCAGCGGGAGAGCTAACCAGAGAGAGGGAGAGAAAGAAAAGGAAAAGCCGAGACGCATATAAAATACACTCGAAGACACGGCGGGGAGAGAGGCGCTGTTTATTAAATAAGTGCAATGAATGAAATTCTGGCTAATGCATCCACGGCTAGCAACAAGAAGGAACATGGGCCCGTACCCTGCAGCAGTGAACAGTTGATGCCGATTAGACGAGGAATATGCGTATGGCGCATCGATTCATTGTTTGAAATATAGGCAGCATTTAAGCTCGGATTCAACCAGTCAGCCGGCTTCTGAGGATTTTAGTTTATTCAGATATCTATCTATATCAGCTCTGAGATCACGTCTGTGCAAGATGCGCCCACCACGGCTCTACCGCAGCACGTAACTAGAAGGTAAGCCGTGGATGCAAGCTTGAAACGACATTTAAATTAGCTAGCTAGTTATTGCGAATATGCATGGGCGGAATACTAATATCCTCGGATATTGCTTTCCAAGGAAGTGTGCTTTGACCCTCGTTATCGGGCTTCTGCATAGTTATTTGGCGGCGGGGAACATGGGCCCTCTGGTTCAGATTGGAATAAAAAAGCAAAGAAGAGGAAGAAAGGCAAAAAGCGTAGGGAGTTCACAACTCAACGACAGGCTCTCGTTGTGGTAAGGTCTCCTGGTCTCATGCATGAGCATCGGGCTCAGTATGTATTCTGAAATATTCTGGGGGGATCTAATTACAGAGTGGCTGATAATTTACTCGAGTAGTAAAAATGATGGCGGTTGATGAGACCAAAATGTATTGCGTCGTGGCATACGGCTATAAATATAGTTGTGCAAGGTTATTAATAAACTAACTGGGAGGATTTCCCTGGAGGGTATATCATGAGTACTCTTGAAGGAAAAAGACAATGTCACCACATTAACACGGCAAGCAAACTCATACAAAAGTAAACGTATCTCCTCCTTTCTCAATTAGCATGTTTCCCAACCTCTTTGTTCCAACGATCCTCTCCATTTTCAAAGCATCCCACTTTGAGAATAGCGCTCGAACTCCACCCTCCGCTGCCTCCGCTGCCCCTGCTGGATCCAAGCCCAGGAAACCTACAATCTCCGCCCAGAAAACAGGGTTCTCCGGAACACCATACATAATCACCCTCTTCACTCCCCGGATTTGGTAACGGCGGAAATGGTGGGTTCGTTCCGTGTAGAGCAGGGCCGAGTGGCGGCCGCTGAAGAAATGTGTGCGTGCGCGAGCCACATCACGTACAGAGGTGTATTCCGATATGGCGCCGAAAGAGAGGTTTTCCGTCTGCGACGAGGTTGCAAGGTAGTTGCGGACACGGACAAAGTCTAGGTAAGATGGGATGAAGATTAAAGTTCCCGATGCACTGGGGTTCCCTCTGCCGCCCGTCGAGCTACGGACGAGAGGCGACAGTACAGCATTTGTAAAGTACTTGAAGCGGTTTTCGGGATCATTTACGGGCGAGGTGGAATCAAAGCGAGAGAAAGTCTGCTTGACTGGGACAGGCAGCGGTAGGTCCAGGATAGCACCTGCGTATGTGGGAGTAATTTTGAGTTTGCCAGCCGTGTTCTGCATCTGGGATGAGAACAGGGCATTTATCTCAGGGGTAATGAAGGATGAGAAGACAAGTGTTTGGCGGACGTATTTGGCCTGGCCATCCAGGTACCAGTTGCGAACGCGGCTGAAATCACAGCCATGAGATTCCTTCGGTTGAAGGTTCAAGTGTGAGAAAACGTATTCAACATGTTCCCAGTTCTGCATTAGAAGGGCATCTGCTTGATCGATAATTGCCACTTCGATTGACGAAAGGAAATCGAAGTCTTGCTTTTTACTACTGTAACATTTTGGCAAGGCCATGATCAGTTTGAAGGTCTCGAATAGACATTGCGGGCGTATTCTTACATACTCTTCTTTATCCATAACCATCCTGAGACCAAGCGGGCTCGCCAGGATCATGTCAGAATTATAGAAGTGCGAGAAATATTTGATGGTTTTCCGCGTAAACTTCAGCCCTAGCCTGAACATATCATCGTCGTTCCCACCAAACAACTCTCGAAAGTCGTCGGGTTTGTTTTCCCACGATTTATCGTCAGCAGCAGAGAAGGTATCGTAGAACTTGGTTTTATTTTCTTGCTGCTCTGCGTGATATAATTTCGTTATAGATTCCATAACTCGAACACACGCCTGTCGAGTGGGCAAGATGATCAACACCTTGGGGCGAGTAAAGCCTTGGTCTCGTAGCTCCAGATCCTGGTCAGGCACCTTTTGTGAACGGGAGTTGTTTTTCAATACCCTGTCTCGAGTTTTGAGTATATGGTTTAGGACATGAAGACAGTAGAGATCTCGGAACCTTGCTGAGTTGGATAACGTACGGGCCCCGAAAAGGAGGTCATGGTAGCCGAAAATGCTAGGGGCAAGGCCCGATGCAAGGCTGTCAAATTTAGTGATGTGGTCTCCTGCATGGAGAGCAAGTTTTTGCTTCAGCTGTAAGGAATATTAGCTTGATAACTTTTTGCATGCTCAGCGTGTGGTGCATACCTTCAAACTCTGGAGCCCATGGATAGGAGCTGGAAGTTGCACTGTATCCCCACCAGTATCTGGATGGCTGAACATAAGTCTGAATCTGCCTGGAAGTTCGCTTTTATGTGACAGCCAGCCCTTTGAAGAGATGGCTTTTATATTTAGTGAGAGCGATGAACTATCTACAATTGAAAAATGTATTTCAAATGGATCCGTTGCTGGACGAAGATTGTTAGAATACGGAAGTCTATTTTAGGTAGAAAATAACATACTGTCGTTCTCGTCTCCAGAATCTCCGGCTTCAACCTCCTCCGCAGCTACATCCGCCAGATCCTCGATCTCATCATCATCTGTGATCTCCGGCTCGGACAAGTCAGCTTCATCATGAAGCTCATCCTGCTCTTCAACCTGAATCTCAGTTTTCTTAGAATTGTGGTCAACTTTCCGTCTCTTTCGAGCAGGGCCATTTGTATCCTGGCTAGTGTTGAACAACTGTAATAATGTGTTGTACGGCTTGTCCATTTTTTTCTCTTCACCGTCGGCGTCGTAGTCGTCATCGCTGTCTGACGACAGCTCATCAATTGGCGGGCTCTCTGCCTCTGCGTCACTCCCAGATGAGCCATCATCACTGGAGGAAGTTTCATGGCTTAGCTATGTCAGTTATTGCCTTGTAGAAATTGGAAAGAAAAAGAAACCTACTTGTTTTTTTCTACCCTGGAAGTTTCGAAAGCCGGACGGCCGCCGCGCTGCCTTTTTCCACGAGCCCCTCTAGTGCCTCGAGAATTAGAAGACCTGCTGCCTTTCCCACGCGGTGCGGCCATGTTGTAATCGGTAGCCGGCTGCTTTAAGGGCCGCTGTGCATTGTGCTGTTGCTGTTGCTGTCTTTGTACTGATGCGCATCTTTTTTTCTCTCAGAAGGTTGGCGGATCTTATCTTATCTTAGTGTGAAATCTCGTCTTGGGTCCGCACACACAATTTGAGCCTCATTTGACCACCGCAACGGCAACTCTCCACGCCAACGAGACACCTCCCACCGCCGATACTGACGTTTGTGGCTGGGATCAAATTACAGATACAATTGCCCAGCATGGCTGATACCGATTCATTTCTCCATCTTTCGCGGCCTCTGGGACCGGCTCTGGTTGGCGCTCAAGCCTCCACCGCCCCTCTTAATGTTGTGATACAACCACAAGTAAGCATACGACTCCTCCTGAGAAAATCGAAGATTATTATAGCATGCTAATACATTTATAGGCGATTTTTTCAATCCTCGATCATTCCCTTCGTCGTAATGCTGACCAGGAGCGGGTCATTGGTACTCTACTGGGGACCCGATCCGAGGATGGCACTGAAGTTGAGATCCGCTCCTGTTTCGCCGTCGGGCACACGGAAACAACCGATCAGGTCGAGGTTGATATGGAATACCAGAAGCAAATGCTTGCACTACACTTGAAAGCTAACCCAAAGGAAGTTCTTGTGGGTTGGTACGCGACATCCTCAGAACTGAACACGTTCTCTGCGCTCATCCAGAATTTTTACGGCGGTTCAGGAGATGGAACATGGCCTCACCCAGCTGTACATTTAACCGTGTCTACGGCTCCAGGGAAGGATATTGAGACTAGGACATACATCTCAGCGCCAGTGGGTGTGACAGCGGAAAGAGCCGCTGACAGCGCCGCATTCATACCTGTGCCTTATGAAATTAGATATGGCGATGCTGAGAAGAATGGCTTGGAGGCGATCGCTGCCGCAAGAGATAGCGAAAATAGGACAGCTAATCTGTTCACGGATATTGAGGCGCTAGAAAAAGCCATCGAGGATGTTTTGGGCATGATCGATCGAGTATCGAAATACGTCGAGTCTGTGATGGATGAAGAAGCCCCCGCTTCCACGGCGCTTGGACAATTCCTTCTTAATGCTCTCGCTTTGGCTCCAAAAGTTAACCCTGCTGATATTGAAAATGACTTGTGCGCTCTCTTCCTTTCCACTCCGATTTGTCTATTCATTGTTCGAAACTAACAACTACTCTGTGTTCGCAGTAATAACCACATCCAAGATGTCCTTGTGGTTTCGTATCTTGCCAACACCATTCGCACACAAATGGAACTTTCCAACCGATTAGCCACTGCACAACTCACCCTTGGTGGCGAGAGTACGGGAGCCGCCGCCGCAGGCGGCGCAGCTGGAGAAACAGGAGGACAGCGAAGCGGTCGTGGTGGTGGCCGGGGACGGGGTGGCCAGCAACGAAATCAAGAACGCGTTGCAATCGAAGCATAGCGGAAAACTTAATACATGCAATTGTATGAAATTGCGACGAAAAAAATACTTACTTGCGTCTAATGGTTCATCCTTCAAGAGTATATTCTTACTTCTATCTCCCTCGGGATGTAGTCAGCGGATATGGCTTGCCCCCCGATTTTACCACAGTCGCAGGGTTGCTCGGGTTGGGGCAAATGCAAGGCGTCATTGGAGTCGTTTTATTGGAATCTATTTCATCTTTCGTGCTCATCTTCTTTTGTTCATGTAGTTCGCCTTTTACGGCCACCTTTACCAGTTTATTCTCAAAAGAAGATAAAAGGGCATTGTTATCTTAGTAAGCGACAATGAACCGATGGATAGCTCGTCAATGGTGGAATAGGAAAGATGGGATACCAATGACGCGTATAGAATTTTAAATTAGACTTAACTTCATCACTTCATTGAAGCGTGTTTGAATTCTATACGTGGTAAGAAAGATACTGGAGGTTGTTGAAGTCCGCTATCTTGAACCCAGCAGCCTGATAAGAGTAAAAATCCATCCTTGCTCCAAACGCCATTGCAATGCAAATATGAAAACCGAAACATCTAAATAAATATGCGAAATAACACATCACATTAAGAAACGGAACCCCCTAAGCTCTTCCGCTTCTTCATCATGCCCCCCTCAGAAATCGAATCCACCCCTCTCTTCCCCGTAACAACAACAGATGAAGCCTTCTCTTTCCCTTTCTTTCCCACTGCCATTCCCGTTCCGGTCCTTCCAGCCACAGACCCATCTGCCCCATCAACGAGTGACTCGGTGAACTCTTCCAGCCCCTTTTTCCCACTAGCCCCAACCTGGTCATCGTTTTGATCAAAAGCCCTCCTGGCTTCTTTAAGTTCGCGCTCGATGCGAAATAGTTCCTGCACACGGCCTAGTTTGACAGGGTCACGGCGTAGTGCAAAGCGGAAGTCGTCCACTTTGATTTTCTGACGGCGGGAGTAGGTAGCGCATTGTGCCGCGGAGTGGCATGTTTCGATTATGAAGTCTGTTACGATCTCGTCGAGGACGCGCAGGGTTTCTGGGAGGGGTTCCTGGGGGTAGGAAGAGTGGGGGGCTGGATCTCCATAGGCATGGAGGAGGTGGCGTACTGTTATTCCATTCGTAAGGTTAGGTCAAGAAAAGAAGACTAACAACCGCAAGATGACATGGAAGGATACAAAGAAGGGGAACATACGCTCATTTCCAAAGTTCAGTTGACCTTGATGGCGGGTAAGTCGAACCCGCGGTTCAGCCATGCCGGTGTTCAGCTGTCTCAATTTGCGGCGGGCTAGATAGTTGCTGTTCGTCTCGTTCGCTCCCTGTGTCCCCGCATCTGTCCCCTTGGTAGTCGGCGTCTCCTGCGTCGCAGATACCCTATTCGCGCCTGTAGGCTCCAGTAAGTGTTCGAGCTCGTAATGGCCGGGGATTTGCGTGGGAAATTGGACCAAGTAATCGAAACCGCCCAGTGTGATACATTTCCTTCCTGGTGAAGGTTGAGCCATAACGCTTAGATAGAGTTGGAGTGGCGCGCGTCTAAATTAAGCTTGGCGTTATTTAGCGATATTGTTGGATGATGAAGCGAGAGTGATGAGCTAAGCGAGTTAGGCTTTCTCGACACGATATGATGATGATGTTGATGATATTTCTATCTTTGGCGTAACGGACGGTGTAGATGCATGAACGGCGTGTCGTGAGAAACTGGGCTTCTGAAGGTAACTGCATTGAAGAGTTTTGTTGCCCGGGACCGACTGAATCCGTCTTCAACAAACAACAAAGCAATCACTCACCATGGTAAGTGACAACAGACTATGCCAGTAGACAAGCTCCTTTGCTATTCAGTCCTTGCTTAGAAAGCTAATAATGTTGCCTTTCTTCGATAGACTGCCCTCTTCAATTTCCAATCCCTTCTCCTCGTTATCGTCCTGATCATCTGTACAAGTGCCTACGCCCATTCGATAATGCCGGGCATTATGGACCGCAACCAGAACGGGTATGGAATTTTGCCGGAGCCCTGGTGAGGAAATATAGGCTTTATTAGGCTTTTTTCGACTAACTTCTCTCTGTTGGTGGAATGTGTACAGCTTTTTCGGGATATTCTGGAAATGCGCCCGGGTTGGGGAACGGCTAAGCCCGTACGTCAGTTTGTGTTGTTTGGCGATGGCGGTAAGTGAACGTTTGTGGGGATGAGGGTGGAAATTCTGCATTTTTCACGATGTCGCTGAGGCGCTTGGAGTTTTTTTATAATGGTTTTTTTACTAACGGAAAACGGCGGATCTTAGATCTCTCTTTTCTTTGGACAGTGAAAAAGGGAAGAGTTAAACCTCTTCCTCTCGCGAGGATTCTCTATTACCGTACAGGAATGCATGGCGTTGGGAGTTTCGTTTGTTCGTGAAATAGGGCATTTATGCTCTTCTTCTGCAGGATTAGATTTTTCGGAACATGGCAATCAAGTTTTTGAAATTTCCGCATGAGATTGTTTCTCGTTTGTCACTCAAGGGTCTGTCTATAGCGTTCTTGAGCTTATATTCATACAATGAGTATACACCTAATAAAATGCCACATTTCCCATCAGGGCCACAGTACAGTGCAACAGAATGAAAAATAGAAATCAAGTCTCAAATAATATACATGTTCATGATCAAAAACGCCACCCAGGGTATTATACCAATTAGGAGAGTGGTCAATCCGCCATCTCCGCATCCTCTCGGCGTTAAACCGGCTAATCGTATCCTTCGCTTTCACAAGATTCATCGTGTCGTTCAATCTCGACAGGCCCTTCGGACCCTTCATCATCAGCTAATCCGCACTGTGTACGACCGCCGATGCTGGCTTTATTATCCACGAGAGAAAGTAATCGGTCACGTTCATGGATCCACTGCATACTATTGAATGTATAATCGTCAGGAGCCCATCCTTCCTTCATCATAGTGTTCACGGCATTCGCAGTCTCATCCACCATCTGCATTGTAGAAAATCCTGCGACGGCCACATTCCAAGTGACCTCATTGAACTTCAAACCTTGCTCTTGCATCATGACGCGAATCTTGTCGACGGCGTTGGGGTGTCGATTGCGGACAAACGCGGTAAGGAGAATGGTCCACGTCTGAACGGTCGGTTTAACTTGCTTGATTTGGCGGTTGCTTTGAGATCGCAGAATTGCGGTGGGAGGAAGTGGTTGTAGCATCGTATCCAGTACCCTGACGCAGTTTTTTAGCCGACCCGAACGCCGCTGCGCAAACTCCTGGAGAAACACGTTAAATATATAGTCACTTTCCGCCAGCGGTCCGAAAGACTCATGCCCTTGGTCGCGAAGGTATAGAAAACGATCGAACATGTTATTGATTTGACGAACGCTCTGAATCCTCAGAAACGCAGAAATCATGATAACAAGAGAATGGCTGGAGGGAGGGGAGTTTGTGGACTTTTCATGTTCTTCTAGGGTGAACTCGTCTGCGCGGACGACACCTAGATCCACGAGCGGTTGGATGTCATGTGCAGCACTGTATATCTTCAGCATGCGACCAAAGACATCAGTATCTCCCCAGCCCTCATCGGGATTAACGCGGTCCAGTGAATAGAAAACGTGGAGCATCTTGCTAGTAATAAATGGGTTCTTCCTGAGGGTTTCTTGACTACTGATTTCTCGTATTATCACATCAAGATGCTGGAGGTCACGGCGGGACACAGCATCATCTAGAAGTGAGATGTAGGTATACGAGTCAGGAGGAATACCGCTTTCCCCCATTTCATGAAGAACGTACGGGACTGACGCAGGAGCATTTTGTTTTAATGCATTGCGATAGATGATGTTTAACATAGGTTGATTGAGTGGGACGCCAATTTTGAGTATTTCAGGCAAGATCCTAAAGTGCCGTTCATCATTTCCTTCAATCACATAGTCCAAAGTGAGAAGCTTGCAGCAACGATATTGAAATCTTAGATCCGAGAGATATTGAGGGTAGTCACGAATATCCGTAATTAGATTTAAAGAGCTCAGTGCCCTCGGAATATCACGCTGCTTGGTGAAGAGATCCATGAGGTACGTTGCTGTCTCAAAACTAATATGGATTCTCCTGTTTATGATAGTGGATAAGGCCTCATTCACATCTTCGGGCGTGCCTCGTTTAAGGAAAAGGCGTATCCCACGTTCATATGCCTTAAGTACTGGCCACTTCTCCGGGTCTAGGCAAGTATGCAAAGCCTCGTGATAGTATTGTTTAGATCGCTCATCTCGCGTAAGCTCTTCATAATGAAAGGCATCGAGATAAAGAAAGCATTTCGCGACCATGCTAAACGGAGGAGATGGCAAAATATCTGTCGCTAACAGGAAGGCAAGAGCCGCTCGAGGAGAATTGAGGAGCAACCACAACGCAATTGGAGGCCACAGAGTCTCTTTTTGCCGACGGGGAAGCCTGCTCCACTGCTTTGACAAATGTGTAGGGTCTTCGGCAGTCCAGTCGACGCCAGTTAACCATTCCAGAGCCTCCTCTTCCCGTTCCAGCTTCAGTTTGTCCCACACACGGGCCATATTTTCCCCTTTGACCTTATGAGAAAACAGCACACCAAAATTTTCGTTCCAGTCGGGATGGAGGATGGGATCAATATAAAGGCACTCTGATCTCACTGCGAATTCAGAAGAAAACTGGTAGCGAACTAAATGGCGGTGGGTGTTGCGAGCTGTTGAGGTTATTGCCTGATTTATAATTGTCTCGCACGTTCGCTTCATCGGTATACCAGAACCAGGGCAAGGCTGGGTTGACCCAACATCTGAACAAGGTGTTTTCGTCTTCTGCACCGAGTTGCGTGGGATTGCTTTCTCAATAGGGTATATTTGTGTTTTTTGAGCGCCAGCGCTGGGCTTGGTATCTTCAAATGTGATAACTTGATTCCTGTAGGAATCTTGGTCCATCTGATAGATTTGATTGGTTTCGATGGTGGTGGTTGGGGTGGATGTGAACAATCGATGTTGGATAGAGGAGTTGCAAAAGCGGGAGATAGCAAAACCCCTGCGTAAGGGGATAAGCCCCATATGCGAAATTGCAAGTCCGTCGGAGGAATATCGAGTTTGTGTCCCTGGGTTCTGGAATTGCAACTGGTACAGGGAGGGGAGGGAAAAGAGGTGACCCCGTTCAGAGGATCTAAGGCACGAAATATCCTGGTCCTGTACATTTTCGAGGTGGATCTCGGAGCGATTATGATGAAATCTTGTTACATATCCGGAAAAGTTGATTTCGCGGCGGAAAGCAAGACGCCTAATTGACAAACACTTGCTTGCTTGCGAGTAGTGGTGCTCGCAGTGGTAAACACTGCATGGGCGAGCGAGCATGCAGGGAGGCAAGCATAGAGAGCGCAGCTGACAGTATTTGGCGTGTATATGCCGTTCACATGGCTTGCAAATGGCAAGGAATAATTGAAAGGTAAATGCAACGGCGTGGGTGGATGTGGGAGGATGTCTGCTTCAACGCCAATCCGAACTTTTTTATGCGGGATGTGGCTGAGGCAAAAATGAGGCTGATATGTGGCTGAAGTTTAACTCATAGGCCTTTTGGTCCTACAAACCATGTTTGGATTATTTTGCCAGACATATTCGGCATCACTCCCATGTTCCTTTTTCTCTTGCCCTTCACAATTTAGACATGTCATCTTCACATTCTACCCTCGATGCTGCGGCGATCGACCGAAAAGCCCGTCTAGCCAAGCTAGCCTCACTGAAGCGAAAGCAGTCCGAACCAGACCCCATTGAACAGGATGGCTCCCAGCATACTTCAACGGAAGGGACACCAACAGATGTCTCTGCGCGATACCTATCCGGGAGAAATTACGATCCCGAGGCTCGGGGCCCAAAACTCGGTTTCGAACATGCCCCAATAGAAGGGCAATCCACTCTTGAAGAACGAGCCCAGAAAATCGCGATATCCACCGAACAGGCTGCAAAGGAGGACGAGGAAGCCGATAAACCGATCGACCTGTTTAAACTACAACCTAAAAAGCCGAACTGGGATTTAAAACGAGACCTAGACGAGAAGATGAAGATCGTAAACGTGAGAACTCAGAATGCGATAGCTAGATTGGTTCGGGATAGGATACAGAATGCGCAAAGGGACGCGAAGGAGAAGAATAACATGGCTTCTGCAGAGGGCAACGTTGATGGGGATGGCCAAGAGGTCGGCATTGATGGAGGGGCCCTCATTGAAGGAATACACCTGAAGGAAAGGGATGAAGCGGAAGATGAGAGGAGGGAGAGGGAGAGGGAAGAGGACACAGAGATGGGTTGATTGTTACGATTGGTTGTTGCTATTTTTTCGATTTAATTATTTTACTATTCTGGACATCATGCAGGGAGTCTGTACAAGGAACGGCGTTCTGGTTTGGGGCTCTGTAACATCGGCAGGTATTAAATTGAGAATTGAAGCACGATGAAATTTAGTATATGGGAGTATCTACGGATCCCTGCTCTAAAGTGGCCGGAGTTTTGCCACGGGAGACAGCATTCGGAATTGGAGAAACGTGACTAGTTATTACAAAGATGGACAAATCAAAACAAACACTGCACACCCTCGCAGAGAAAATACCTTCTAGTTATCGTGTACACCGGACCCATTACCTATTTATCATATTCATGGCTTGAGTTAAAGCCAAACGTTTGCTGAAGGGGCTTAAGCTTCGCTCCTTGCGAGGCGGGGGATTTTCGGGTACGCCTCTACCTCTATCATAAGGGGGTTCGTGACCCCGTGCTCTTGAAGGACTCCTTGACATACTTCGGGCTCTCTCGGAGCTGCGTGGATGACGAGCACGGCCACGATCTGGATATCGGCTGTTTCGATCCAGAGCCCTAGGGGTTAAGGATCGCCTGTGCTTTGCGATTGAACTCCGATCCATACTCAGGCTTCGCGACCTGTTTCTCCAACTGCCACGTCTTTCTGAACCATACCGACCTCGTTCAACTGGGCTTTGTGATCTCTTTCCCCGGCGGGTATTTCCTTCCTTTCCCCTTGATGTGGTTGCCTTTCCTCCAGCAGAAGAGGAGGAAATATGTGAGTCTGGTGAAACGCTTCTGCTTATCATCCTTTTACGTTCTCTTGATCTAGCGGAGGAGGGGATATCTCGTTTTCGTGGTGGTGATCTGGACCAAGATCGGTCTGTTGAGATCGTGGAAACGGAATCTGCTGAGTACGCTGGAGAGACTGATCTCACCCGTTTTTCAGGGCGCCGGTGAGTCGCATCGTCATGGTCTCTATCATAGTCTGAGCCTTCCCTATTGCGGCCCCGTTCACGTTCCTTCAATGCCAGTTGTTCATCAGCTACGCCTTTGCTGTGAACATTGTTAGCTGGTACATTCAGCTAGAGGGCTGAACATGTAAACATACGTCCGCAATAAATCATTCGGAACATCGCTCATCAGCTCTGGTACCAGCTTTGGGTTTGCTAGCTGTTGTGTTCTGGACGGACGGGAAGTGTAGGGCCGTTCTTGAGCAGACGCTTTACATTCATAGCTATAGTGCCGTGTTGTTCTGTCAACTGAAGTCATTATTGAAATGAAATGAAATGAAATAGTCCAAGACTTATCTCTTTTGAGACATTTCTGGCAGAGAGTAGTGGCTGTTGCCTTGGATGTTGTTCTTAAGCCGGGGATATTGCGATACCGATTCATGATGGTGGTAAGAGAGAGCTATCCTTGAAGTAGCAGGAGCATGTCGAAATGTTCTCTGATGGGCTGTTCACTTGGATAACTCCGAAATAGAGCTCCGACTTTGGGTCTTGCAACAGCCGCGGCTTAGCGCAGCCGCGCGTCAAGAAGCTGACAAAGACACCACAGCCGTTCTCTGCAAACGGCAAATCCCCACTGGGAGCAACTTCATCGCCCAGGTCATTACGGTTGGACTCTGCACTGATTCTCCAACCCAGCTTGTTGAACTCTTCTTGTTTGCCCACGGATACCATCCTGTATTCTACAGGGGTACTGGGTGTGTTTTCTCCTGACAGGATTTTGCCCCTAGGGTATGAAACTTTTGTTCTCACACCTGGGCTAGCCTTGTCCTGCTTTTCGACAGTGAATGCAATATACGCATCAAACCCCCGCCGAACACTCACATTGAATCTCTCGGCATTATACCATGTCCTCAGCTTCCTGATTTGCTTCTCCTCCTCCCCCTTCTTTTATTGACCTTCGTTTATTCCCCTTTTCTATGGCGAGTTTCCTTACCCAGAGATATGTCTCCCAACGATATAGACTTGTGTGAAGTGGGATTTCCTTGCGACATTGACTCCATTTGATCCTTGCTCTTGATATTTTGTTAAGCTGCGTTAATATCTTGAAATCATCCTTCGGTATTGTCCACTGGCCAGGCTATTTGTGGGCTCAACGTCATGGCCTCTAAAACTTCTCAACAAGAACTGAGGCGCCCTTCTTTTGCAAAGGTATGCACTGTAATTACCTTCCATTTTATTTAATGTCGAATGCTACAGAATGTAACTAATATTCCTTGCTTTAGGTGGCGGCAATGCGCCCTCCACCAACACAGCAAAACTACACTACGCAGATTGAAACTGCCACCGACAGCCCAATTCCGACTCATGAAGCCTCAAATGATTCAAAAAGCGATCGTCGTGAACTGCCCCAGGAGCTAAACCAGAAAGCGCACGATGATGTAGAGAGTTTAGACAAGTCGGTGCAGAATTTCCACATAAATTCGCAGGAGGACCATGGCGCCAATTCGGAATCCGGAGACGGCCATGATGATGGCGCGGCTAAGCCCGAGCTGGCCTTTGAAGACGACCAAACGCATCTTTCAAATTCTTCAACCAAACCAACGAGCTTTGATTCTAAGAGCATGGCTTCTGTGACGACTTTTGCTATGGATGAAAAAGAATCATTGCGCCCAGATGATAGCGCTAGCGTCCAAGCAGCGGAAGAGGATGACTCTTTCTCGGGACCGGCTTCTGGTGCACCAAATTCCCAAGTCGGTTCAGAGGCGGGTGGACGCTTGTATCGCATAACCGACCAGGGCACTTTGTCTGACCGCATTCCTAACAGAACACGACTTAATAACACAGGTGTCCCGGGAATCATCTCCTCGAACGGCCCAAGTGAACCAAGTCTCCATAGTTTCCCCAATGAACCGGATGAGAAGTTGCTTGATGCGATGAATTCGCCAAAAGATCGGTTATTGATTCTTCAATTGGAGGAGAAGATAATTGCATTCATTAAAGATTCCGAGTATGCGAGCCTGAATTCCAATGGAAGCCCCTTCAACTACACTGCTGACCCATGTATAGTGAACAGTCTTTGGAATTGCCTCCGTGCAACGCATTTGGACGTCTTCTTGCGCATAAACTCGGTGATTATTACCATCTAACTCATTTTGTTGATAATAATGTGACATCCGTTCGACTTCATAGAACCCCTTGGTGCAGACTGTGAGTTCTCAAACCCAGCCTTAAATTTGTATTATAAAATTGGCAGCTCACTAACTTGAGGCTTAGGCCCACTCCTTTAAATATGCTCCAACCACCCAATGCAAACAAAACCCCTCCTCCAAATGTACCGGCGATGAAAATCATGCGTCGCTCCGGACAACCGGGGGAAAGAGTGTCGGGTGCAGGAAGCACGGCACCTAGTTCAGCAGCTCCTTCAAAAGCTACATCAGAAGCCGGCGGTACTAATGAGGAAGGGTTTGGATCATCTGCTGGAGCCACTCCAGCGAAAGACCGCGCGACCCTGAGTCGAGAGGAGCGTGAAGCAAAATATCAGGAAGCTCGAGAGCGGATATTTAGAGATTTCCCAGAATCTAAGGTCTCCGACCATTCAAACAGCGGAGATCAGAGTGCAAATGTATCGCGGTCCAACTCCGGGAATGGCAAACGAAAGGGACATAAACAGAGAACGCCAAATGATGACAGTTTCGAGGCACGGTCCCAATTCAATGCGTACTATCCGGGAGCTCCATACTCTAGTGCACCACTTCCATTTAATGGTATGATGACTGAAGGGTCGTTTGGTGCCCGGGCGCATTTTTATGTATCGACTTCTTCTCCGTCACTTTCAAATTTCCCTCCTGGCAACAATGTAAACGCGGTATATCAAACTCAGGGGAACTTGACATCTGCCCCAACACAATATAATGTTGCCGTCCCGCCTCACATGAGTCAAACTAATTGGCAGCCTGGGCATATACAGCAATCTCCCCCGTACTCAGGGTTTTCTCCAGTCAACCAAATACCGCCAATTGTTCCTCAGCAGCCTTCAACAAGATCCTCTCCTGGAATAAGTTCATATTCCCCACATCCAAACACTCTCTCGTTCCAGCAACAGAGCACTTCAACCTGGAGCCAGCCACAGTACCAAACCGTGTATCCTCCATCAACTGCTCAACGCAATCCGTCTAATAATGCACAGTGGCCAAATTATTCACAACACTCTATGAATGCGAGCCAGGTGGCTTACCCCTATGGTCAGATTCCAAACCAGTCGTTCACACCAGGTCATCAGAACAACCCAGGACAGCATTCTCTTCCTGGAAGTTTTCCCCGTCCGCCTTTTAATCCCCAAACAAGATCTTTCGTTCCTGGAAGCAACACTCAATCTCTATATGCTGGGAACCTGCCACAACAGCCGAGTATAAACCCAGCTTATTTACACCCCTCTCAATATCCCGCTCCGACATCATGGACGGGAGTCAACTACGATCCCTCGAGCCGCAACCCTTCAAACCAGCCTAATTGCCAGACGAATGCGAAAACGCATGCTCCCACATCTTCCATGATTCATTCGGCACCCAATCACCATGGCCATTCTTCAATGTTGACCCGGGACTCAATAGCTAAATGGGGCACACCAGCTCATCTCCCACCGAAACCGCCCCCATCCAAAGTCGCGTATGATTTCGATCTCAAAAACAAGACCTCCTCAGCCATACCACCTCCCCCTCAATCATTTCCGAGTACACCACCCGCACCTCTCCCTAAACAAAATGGTCCTCTTGTTGTATCAGGCGGAATGGGACATCAAAGACCACGGGGAAATGTTGCCACTGGGTTGTAAACGTCTCATTTGCATATATTTTTTAATTTTACTTTCTTGCCCACATAGTTTGCGCAGCATGGCAGGGCACAACACGGCATTGAATATGATGATGTGATATGTGGACATATTGGAGTGAGCCGAATGTTACTATATCATAGCGAGATGAGAATGGTGTGGTTTGGGGTTTGGGCGGGAGCGTGCTGGGTGTGGTGGTGGTAGCTGGCGTATCTGGATACCTTCTGGTTATTGATGAGCTTCAAAATAGGGGGAAAGGAAAGAGAATGGAAAACAAAGTGCTTCCGCGAGATGTATCACTCAATTGGCCCGACTGGGTCACTACTACGTTTTACTTCATCGTTCTGTCGGCCACCCTGCGGTTTCATTTGGTGGCACCGTGATGCATGAAAGCCCTAGCAATGGATTCGAGGTTATTAGTTCGAAATGACAAAAGGGGGAAATATTGGAAGCAATAAGTGTTCATAATTGTCTCTTCTCGAGTTCCCTTTGGCAAGCTAAACGTGACAAGGAAAATCAAGGAAAGAAAAAATATATGTTAAAATATGTTAAACCTTTGTTTTTATTTTTCTGTTCTTTGTACTTTCTCCCTCTTCGTGATATCCAGCCTACGTTATTAATTGCAAGAAGTTCTCTCCGCAATAATGTTAACTTAATATTCCCCACCTTATTCTTTTCTTACTTCCCATCCATATAATATGGCGTTTTCCAATTGGGACTGGGACGCGTGGAAAGATTAGTCTTCGGTTTCGAGTAATTTTGGATGCCCTTCCATAATAGTACGTGAGCTTATCCATCCATTATTCATTTGAATCAATGGTAGGAGAAGAAGAATAGTGCCCTTACAACTTTTCGTGATCTAAAATATCTATTTTTTTTTTCATCCTTGAAATAATGTACAGTGGCAGCCATTTATGACTTGTGCTTTGTCTCATATCATACAGTCCACCATAAAATCAAAACTGCCCAAGCGAAACAGGGCCAATTATACACGCATAAACACCAGTCTTTAAAATGGAGAGCAAAACCGCAGAACAAGAGATGGCACAAAGAAAACGTGGGAAAATTACCCTATATATACCCAAAACATACGAACAATAGAAAAAAACGTAATAAATGCCAAAACATCGATAATAGAAAACCAGCACCTAAAAATGGACTTAATCCACCTCCTCCCCTTCCTCCCTCTTCTTCCTTTCCTGCTCCCTCTGGATCCTCTCAACCTCCTTCTCCAACGCCTTCTCTCCGTCAGGCCTAAATCTCGTAACCTTCAGCACATTCAACGCCGTAAGCTCATTCATGCTCTCATCGCCCTCCGCACGCTTGCGAGCCAGCGTCCGCGCCGTCATGGCAAAGCGCATATCTTTCGGTCCGTCAACTAGTTCGAGAATGGCGGAGGGCGCCTGGTCAGGTTTTGTGGGTTCGATGCGTAGTACGCGCGTGCAACCACCGGGTCTGTTTAGGTAGCGTTCGCGGATGGGCCCGAAGAGTTTGGTTAGGAGCTCCGGTTTCTGAGGATTTGGGTTAGTTTTGTGCAATATATTGGAGTCGGTTTATTTTTGAGTAAAATGGAAATCAACGGTGTAAGTAGCTTTCTTCTTCTTCTTTCTTTTATAACGACATATTTGTGAAACGGGATATTGTAAATCCAAAGAGATCGATGCCATCATCCCGTCAGATTAAAAACCGACTGGGCCCATCCAGGTCGGAAATAGAATGCATGTATCTCAGAAATAACAGACACGGAGGGAAAAAAAAAACAAGGGGGGGGGGGGGGGATAAAATCTATTACACATACGAAAAACACTGCCTGCGCCTTTTGCCGACTCGTCGGCGTATTCTTCTTGCTCAACGTGATCAACTTCTCCGCCATGCGTTGTGCCTCCTTGGCCTTTGGCCAGGTGGTTGTGATTGCTTCGTGCTCGAAGAGGGATGTGACGAGGTTTCGCAGGAGCGCTTTGCGGTGGGCTGAGTCACGGCCGAGATGCCGATATTTCATATGGCCGCCTGCCATGATTTTTCTTAGATTATGGGTTTACGTAGGGGGAGGCGGGGAGGCGGCCAATTGTAAGGCGGTTCTGGGTCTGCGGGAGTGGACGTGGAAATGCAGGGGGAAAAATTGACTTCGGGATAGTAAGCTGGAGAAGTCCTAATTCACTGACTGATTGAATGAATTGGGGGCGCAGAGGGGTTGTCGATTGGCGGGGGTTGTTCCTAGTGGGTTTGGTTGTTCTGGAGAAGTTGAAGTTTTGGAGAAAATTGAAGCTGAGTAGGATCCAGCCAATCGGAGTAGAGCCAGCGACGAGATAGAAAAATATCGCTCCCCAACACCTCCAAGTAGGCAGAAGCAACAATTATTTACCAATATTGAGTGTATTGAGCAACATTGGATTGAGTATCTCAAATTTCTCGGGCCGGGCGGTTTTGTATATTCTGAAACTTTTGGTTTGGCTGCATTTCGCGAAATACTTGCTTTCGGTATGGGGAGCTGAGCATTTTTTTCTGCTTGAGTTCAATTATGCGCCTTACAATCCAGAGAAGCTGCGTTTTACATATACTACCAGGAGGCGAAAATAACTATTGGAGAGTAAACACTCTCCATAACTACTACTATTCACGCGCTCAAGAATGAGTTTCCTAAAGGGCTTCGTAAGTTCTCGCCCTGGTCCTACCATCTCAACCAAGCCGCAGCACTCCCGTCCCTTCAAGCCAGCCACCAACATCATACGCATATATATACTATATATTCGACACCAATATCCACCTTAACCTCACAAAACTCACATCATCGAATCGCAGCTCACAGGTCTAACCTTCACAACCGCCACCCTCACCCTCACCGTTCATCTGCATCTCGCAAACCGGCAACAGCAGCACCTCCTCCTGCGCGAGCAGATAGATTCCATAAACGCCATAGCATTATTGCCAACCTCCACTGCCGCTACCGACACCAGCAGCAGCAGAAGAGTTTACACATCCCACACACGAAATACGTCCGCCGACGACACCGATGCCATCGCAGCCGTCCTGGCGCGGAGGGGATATTACCCGCGCGAACGCCCGGGGATTATGGATTTGGCGAAGGAGAGATGGAATAGAGAGCTTGAGGGGTGGGTGAGGAGGATGCAGGAGGTGGGATTGGAGGGGATCGCTAGGGAGGGGGCGAGATTTTTTAAGGGGTTGGTGGGGGAGGAGCGCCGGAGAGAATCGTGATGGGCGTTGGGGAGAATAGGAATGGGGATTGAGATGTTTTACTTTGTTTGATTGATCTATTGACCCTTTTTATTGTGGGATATCTTTATTTTTGTATTGGGAATGGTCCTGGCGTCTTGGTGTTTGGGTGATGGTACTTGGATTGATATACCCGAATTCTTGTCTCTATATTTGCGGTTGCTGAACGACATGCATTTTTATTGCATTATTCCGTACAGCAACGTCAATACGCTTATTTGAATTATTTAGACGCCCTGGATATGAAAGTTCATTTCATCATTCCATCAGCAGGATATAGCATTTAATACCTATTGCGGAAGAGGGCTTCCCTAGTAACCTTCCGAGACTATTTATCGTTAACGCAGACAACCCCAACTGTATGTAACCTGGGGCTTGACATGCATGGAATACATTGCTCCTGTTAAATAATTCCCCTATCCGATACTGCCATGATCACCTCCCTTTGCATCATTCCAACCATTCCTTCCGTGTGTTGCCCGCCCGCCAACGGGCCAGCCGATCTTTATCCCATGTAAGATGCCCCTGAATGATTTTGCCTCGCCATGCACGAATGAGTCAAGGGTTTGATATTACTCCAATCATGTTACGTAAGTGGTGCAACGGAGTTATAGTTAGATATAAGGACAGAGGGTTCCACATCCTGCTCCTGGTTTCCCTCCAAAAGGAAGATAGAGCTACTGAGTCGAATCAGAGGATATCCGATTTTCTTCTGGTGAAGGGCTTTTGGATTGATTCGTTTGGTGAAGATGACGAGGATGATATAATAGTAATGACACTGAATGATGCAATTCTGTAGTCATCTTGCTAAGAGCTTAAAGTAAGCCAGTGGGGCCCTCGTTTTTGTTGGTATTTGTTTTGGAAAACCACTATTTGAGTAAAACTGCGATGGCGCAGAAGTTGCAATAGCAGCCGATGAACCGTCAATCAATATGTGAATGACGGTCACCAAAGTGGATCGACTCCCTTACCACCGATTGATAAGAGCTAAAAAGTAATTTATCATCGTGAGGTTTTGCCGAGGAAGCCCATGTCTTTGATGTCAAAGTGAGGGACGGAATGGATGGTGTCTTTTCTGGGAGTCGTGGGAGCAGCAATGGTGTTGCGAGAAGCTGTAATAGGACAGATAGAAGAAAAAGACTGAGAACATAAAGGTGAGACCTGTAAATCAGAGAAATATCTCTAATCCAACTAATCAGGCCTTTTTGTTGCTTTTTCTCTTTTCTCCTCTTTTTCTTCTTTTTCCGAACAATGTAAGGCCATTCGCCCCTGTTCTCTTCCACTCTTCAGTCAGGTGTTGCGCTGGTGATTGCGGCTGGTGGTGGTAGCGGTGGAAGCAGCAGCAGAGCCAACAGCAGAATGTCCATCCATATGATTACTATCATTTTCACCATCTTCACCATCATTACCATCATCGCCACTCTCATTCCAGATATCTTTACTCTCCCGCTCTACCACTCTCATCGCCGACGCAACCTCCTCAAGTTTCGCAACCACATCTAAAACACCACTATTGACCCTGTCAAAATATCGATCATTCGCTTCTCTCCTCTTGCGCGCGAGAAGGATGTCTCTTTCCGTCTTCTCGCTCATTAATTTCTCCTGTGTTTCTTTATCCGTAGCTGGGGCAGTAGGGTCTTTGCCCGTAGATTCCGTCCCCCCTCCCCCTCCAGCTACACCTCCACCTCCACCTCCTCCACTTGCTCCCCCTGTGCCAACCCCCTTACTAGTTGTAGCAGCACCAGCCACAGTAGCAGAAGTGATAGATGCACTCTCATCAGCCGGCAGATTCTCCACAACCTCATCGGCCTCACTCCGCGCCCATGCCAGTGCCAACGACAGCTGCTTATCCCTCAATTCCTGCAGTGCTTGGGCGTGCTGCCTGCCGAAAACATGGTCCCCACTCATGGCACTCAGCTCCACCTCCGCGAGCGTATTTTGCATTTGCTGCCAGAGCGCATCTGCATTGCCGCCGGAATTACCGTCTCGAGCGTGGGCGTGTTGACCCAGTCCGTCGCCCAGCCCCTTTCCCAGTCCCATTCCTGTGCCATAAGCCCCTGCATAACTTAATCCAGACCCCTGTCCCTGTGTCGGGAACCGGGATGGGCGCATCAACGGCGAGCTTGGGATTGAGCCTTGGACTGGGGTGAGTTGAGTGGTGGCAGTGGTGATAATCGTAGAGGCAGTTCTACCTTGGGTGTGGGTGCTTTGGGTTGAATGTTCGCGAAGAAGCGGGGGTTGGACGCTAGGATGAGCCGCAGCGGCTGCTGAGGCAGGTTTAACCGTGGCGCTGTTCTGAGGTAGATTGTAGTAGTTGGAGCCTGGTAGGGTGTTTGGGGACGGTGGGCCTTGGTAGAGAAACGGAGATGCAAGGCGTTGCTGGGATGGTGGTATGGTGGGGTTTAAGGAGGAGGAAGCGGGTTCTTGTGTCTGTTCGGGCTTGGAAGCTGTCGATGCGGCCGCCATTGTTTCGCCCGTCTCATCGCTCTTGTGCCTTTTGGGGTTGTTGAGCAGGGAATATTCGTGCTACTTTTAGTATGTCGTTGAATGGTGGTTGATTGGCCAATGATTCAGCAACGAGGGCGGGACGGATGCGGAGTGGCGGCAGACCTGGATTCCTGAGCTCGAACCGAAGCAGCCCCAGGAGAGATGCCGTCAACAATTTTCTTCAAAGCTTTCGCTACTCAGGCTATATTCTACTATCGCAATCCCCAGTTGGCATGCTTTAATTTTGACATGCCGAAGCGACAAGGGGATAATTCCTCCTGCGAACGAATGGTTCACGGTCCCAAAAGCGCAAGAACAAGCGGCGCCTGGTCTTGTTATTACCCGCAGAGATCTGACTTATGATCCTAGAGGAAATCTCGCTCAAAAGTATCGCGGCTGGGCGTCTTGCGTGCAAAGCATGGAAGGCATTTGTCCAAGGAAAGAACCTCCATTGCCTACATCTACGGGCTTCTTCTCCATGGTTATCCGACAGCCTAGTTACTACAACGACTCGGATACAATGGTTCAAAGACTGTTGTTTTAGACTCAAACGTGACTGTGAGGTGATTTCATGGCCCAAATCACGGATTGGTCAATGGCTAATAGGTCGAAGCTCCTTGCTCATCAGCTTTCTCCTTTCCCCGCTTTTCCTAAGCCTCACAAAATCTCCCCGAGGTCTATACAGTTAGCGAACTTATGGTGACACTTCGACAACTTTGACGTCAGATTCTCCCAGCACTGCAGCTCTTGTCTGTAGACTTCTTCCATTGGAAAGTTTAGTCTACAAACCCTTGCATATTTGGCGGTTCCTGGTGATGCTATTTACATTTTTCGCTTGCTAAAAGCAGTCACTTGATCCAGCATCAATGTGACAAATACGTCAAGATGCATAGAACAACTTGGTCGGTGGTACTGCCTCTTTGTTCAATCGATTTCCCACGCGTGTGGAAGCGTTAGCCTAACCCTAACCTTTGCTTCGACATATATAGATGTCTACACATCTGTGATGATGCTGACCGCATTTGGAATCGCAGCTTGTCCTTCCATGTCCTGCCAACAGCGTCGAAAACGCCAAAGCGGCTAAGCAGCAGGCGACGACGTGGACACTCCCATAGAGTAGTTGTGGGAGGCGCGACCTCCAGCGAGCGGATTGCAGCCGATTGGAGATAAGGGTCAAAGTCCGCGTAGAGTGGTTGGAGGTTTTGCCAATATAAAGATATCATTCTGGACCTTCCTATTTAGGGGTTCAGAGATCCGTTCTCGAATGCCATATATTCTCAATTAGCTCTATACATTCGCAATGCCTCGCTCGCCCCATGAAAGCCCCCATCAGTGAGCCTGCACTTTCCTAGGACCGGGGACTTTTCTCCGAGCCATTCTTTGTTCCGTACCATACGGGCAATTTCAGATGTGCTGCCTTGTAATTTAAGCAGTAGACTTGCCAGCTTCAATATTCGCCCTCAAGCCAGAACCTTAACACTAGAACAAAGGAAAACAATAACTAGTGTTGAACGGTCAAGCCACGATTATTATGGAAGACATCAGACACGGCTGATGAGTGATCCGACACATCAGGTATACATGATCGGCGCAATCTCCTGTCTGATGGTGTGTTGCACTGCTGCATGAGTTACCACAGAAGTATTCGATGATTGCCGCATTCGTCGTCATAGTTGGAGGGGGTTCGGATAAATAATATCCCGTATCCGGTAATTTACTCGCTTAGCGGGCAATACAGCCCCGTAACCCACACCGACAATTTTCATACCGTAGGCAGCGCAGACGCAGAGTGAGTAAGCCCGCAAGCGGAAGTCAGCGAGCCAAACTCCACCAGGCTTCCTGATCCTCGACATCGAACAATCCCTCTCCTCAACCAGCCATCCTGCTGCTTTCTGGCGACATCTGATTGACATCGGTATGTTTCATTGTCTACTCATATGCGCCCTTCCTTGCTCATCACCCCAGTCCCTTCCCCTTCCCCTCCCCACCTCAAACATGAGAGCAGGGCCCAACTTTCTGCCTATATAAAGACCCTCAAGCCCGTCAGAAAACCACAAATTCTACAATCTATGATTTCATCTCTCGTCGAGAAAGAAGCACAATTCTAATTGAATCAAAAAAACATCCAATAGAACCCGATCAAAAACAGAATCACCGGCAATCATGGGAAAGGGCAAGCCTCGTGGTCTCAACGCGGCCCGCAAGCTGCGCAACCATCGCCGTGATGGCAAATGGGCCGATCTGACTTACAAGAAGCGTCTTCTCGGAACCGCCTTCAAGTCCTCGCCGTTCGGTGGCTCCTCTCACGCCAAGGGTATCGTCCTCGAAAAGGTCGGTGTTGAGGCCAAGCAGCCCAACTCTGCTATCCGGAAGTGCGTCAAAGTCCAACTCATCAAGAACGGAAAGAAGGTTACTGCTTTCGGTGCGTATTGTGTGAAATCTGTTGTCATTTCTGATGCCTGGTCCTTTCTTTCCTTCATTTTTTTTTTTGGTTGCGACTTTGGGAAATCTTTTCGCTCCTTTGCTCGATAGATGAGGGACGAGAAAAGTTGATATGAGGAAAACGGGAACCTGCTTCGGCAAGGAAGGCGTAAAACTTTCTATAGAACATGGGATATTCATTTCTTTTCCTTTCTTTTCGGTTTTGTTTTCCCCTTTGAACTAACAAACTCCAATTCTTACACTCCAGTCCCCAATGACGGTTGCTTGAACTTTGTCGATGAAAACGACGAAGTCCTACTCGCCGGTTTCGGTCGCAAGGGCAAGGCCAAGGGTGATATTCCCGGTGTCCGATTCAAGGTCGTCAAGGTGTCCGGTGTCGGCCTTTCGGCCCTATGGAAGGAGAAGAAGGAGAAGCCAAGATCGTAAACCGAGAATATAGAAGATTGAGGGGGCGGAGAAACGAGGATCTTGGTGCGTGTGTTGTGGTTCTTTTGCAGGCAGCTTGTGTGTTTTTCGTGCGTGTGAATGCAGTCTATCTGCACTGGCTTTAGAGATAAATGCCCTGGAACGATTGGAGAAATACTTTCTCCGTTTTATGTTTATTTACTTTATTCCAAAAATAAACCTCCTACAAAAATTTACAAATATGTTTGCAGTGCATGATTGTGGATGAATGGGTGTACTTGGGATGGCGGCTTCGTTGCTTGCCTGTCTTCGAACTTCACCATTTGTTGTTGACAACAAGTGCTTGTTAAAGGTTGGGTCAACGTTGATCTCCGTCGCCCGAATGGTTATTGTATAAAACAAATCGGCATGAAAGAAGAGAGAGGTACAAAAGCCACTTGCTTCCCCTCAGCAAAGCCGCGGAACTCCAGCAAGCCCTTCACAGATCACGTAGTCTCCGCAGTGTGCTTATATCCTCCCCTTCCTTTAAATTCATCTCCCTTCTCCCCAGTTTTCTTTGTCACCGACTGGAGTTTATTATCAACATATTGGTTTACTGCCTTCATCATCCTCATCTTCCTCTGGCGAATTCTGATTCGGATATCATCTTGGAATTCACTTCATTTCATCGTGATAATACTTGCTTGCTGTCATTTCATTATCTGGAACCCCACTTCATGCATTCCAAGCATTCTTAATTTGTTCCCTTCCCGGATATTATTATTCTCTGTTTCCCTTGTTTTTTAGAAGGCTATGTCTTCCTTTCGGTAGTGATCTGAAACAATACGATACAGATAAGAAGGCGCATGTCCACCCCTGTGTTCGATGGGTTAGCAACGTACGTCCTTTTTTGCCCACAACCCTGGTTCACAAACCCCTCTCGGGGGAAAAAAAGGGGCAATGCAGGAAGGAGCTAAGGCAAGTCGTCGAATTTGGAAATAAATCATTAAGATCCATGGAATATAGACTTACAGATTTGTAATGTAGAGATCGACGAGTTCAGCCGGGACATAATCATATAGCGGGTTCTCAACGTCAATTTTCTCCAGGTCCCCAGCTTCATATGGCAACACGGCGCTCGAATCACCATACTCGATGAGTGATTCGTAGTCAAACGGGTAGATGGGGCTGAGTTTATATATCCCACTAACGACAATGACTGGGATTTTGTGCACTTTTGCTGCATTCGCAATCGCTCTAGTTCCAGCTTCTGACACTAGTCCACCGTTTGCCAGCACCGAATGCGTGCCAAGGATGACTTTATTGACCCGTGACATTAGTGCGAAAACTGCCGAGTCAGGGATTAGAATCACTGTTACGCCCAGCTCGGTGAGTGACTTCTGGAACGATTCGGGACTTAAATTCTCCTCGTCTCCACTCCTCGCAGGCGGCCGCCCGGCCACGACCGCATGTGTCTCGCGATGGCTGTTGGGATAGGACTCAGCATGAATCACTGTAAACTTTCGCTTGGCTGCAGCTTTCGATAAGAACTTATGCACCGTCACGGACGAAGTGTAGGTGAGTATGACCTCGTCGGAGTGGATGTGCTCCAGGGCGTAGCTGGCGATTTGGTCCTCCACTTGGCTTAGTTCGTCGACAATCTCGCCAATGCCGTCAATGACCTCAGCTTTGAAATCCTTCAAGGCGAACTGCCCTCGTATGCGTCCAGAAGGCGATGCATTGCCTGGGGACCTAGCTTGCGGTGACTCCACTTGCGGATATGAAAGTAACCTAAACATTGATACTACTGGGGGTTCTGTGGTGGTAGTCGCAAATGAACCGTATGAAACCATAGGTGGGCGGGACGAGGATCTTTCCATGGTTTCAGAGCGAACAGAGGAGTTTGTACCCCGTTCCCAGTCAGCATCTCGACCTTCAGAACGACTTAAAGGGCTTGCGCCACGGGTACCACCATGGGGACCATGTGTGGATAAACTTGGTGGATGTAGGGTTGCTTGGCTTTCAACAGCCGGAGGTGTATGCGGTTGAGTATCAGTTCCAGCGTCACTCGATAGACAGAATTCAGCCTCCCTCCCGTCCTCTGCTTCTTCTCTAATCAGGCCCAAAACACGGCGCACAATATTCCCAACAACCATCTCCCTGGGCTGCGCTGCAATGAGTCGCCTTCCGACATTCTGGACGCGGTCAATCAGACTTTCCGGGTCTGTTACTTTCGATGTTGAGACGACGCGGAGGAGGAGGTACGCCGTCGCAACAGCGCAGGAGTGTGAAGACCGTAGCTGGTGCCGTTTCAATAACCTACAGTAAGACTAAGTTAAAAGAAACATCCTTTCGAGAAGTTTCCGCAGCGATGCAGTGAAGAGACATACGATATCAAGTTTTCTGTCGCACTATCCACGTCACTCGTCTTCAAGACCTTCAGGAAGGACTGTAGCCCCGGCGTCAGGGTTACAGTTGAAGGGGGCATTTCTAGTTAAGGTTCTGGAGTATTTTCCGTTTCCAAGTGTATCATCAACGTCAAGCTATTTCGCACTGGGTTCTTGTCTAAAGATGCAGCGCAGTGCGAGAGGGGTCTCCCCGCGGCAGGCTATTACCGGGCACTGTCACAGTCTCGGATTAATGATACAGGACAATAACAGAGAGTAAAGGTGGGTACCAAAAAAAAGGATATGAAGCTTGCAACTATATGCTGAAATAGGTCAAATCTTTTGGAGTGCGGAGAGTGCTTGCGGTGCGTTCAGGGAGCTTGGTTTGAAGCTTTTTTTTGTCTTGAATTGAAATCGTCACCGATTCGCAAGGGTGCATGGCAGATGGTACTGATCTTGTAATTTGCGGTGGAATGGTCGTATTGTCAGGTATTAGTGTTTCAGGGCCAAGGACTTCAGGAAGCACATCAACTATCGCCAACCTCCATCAGTCCAGCACCACAACAACAAGCCTGCCATTCACCCCACCAGGGTAACTGGGGATGTTTTTGACATTCAGAAGAACCCTGTTCATTCTTTGAAATGGGCGCCCAGCCATCCACTGCTTTTTATATAGCTCGCCCTACACAAACAGCGAGGGAAGTCTGAAACGCCATGCTAAATGCTTGTTATCGGAAGATTATAAACATCTATTCTTCTGCGGCGGTTACAGGCTAATCTAGGCTAACATCAAAGAGGAGCCCCTATCAAACCAGTCTGAGCAGGGCGAATATCTGAAAATATGGAAACAACCATAGAGGTCACGCTCCGTTCCTCCCCAGCTCCGAAGGCATTTTCGAGCAAGGTTTCATCTAAGTTGAAGCAAATCAGACTTTAACTCACAATGCACATGTTAGACCAGTCCTTTAGGGCTTTCCAAGCTGCGTGGTCTTTTGGTGGGTTAGGCTCTTCCGCTTGGGGATTCCCTTGTTCGTATATTGTGAGACAACGACTACATCTAGCAGGGAGCATATCGATCAAGGTCTGCGACGATGTTCCTGTATTATGCGTGAAAGATATGTTCTGCTGGCAAGACACGGAGTCGCATTTGGTGCTGCTCTCGTTGTCGAAGTCTCTTAGGTTTCCGTCTTCACTTTGGCTTAGTGACAGTTCCATTCTAGAGCAATTTGTTGTTATTCTCGGAGTTATTCCGTTACAGTATTCATCTGTGCGAATATTTCCATGTACACATTTTCCGTTTGCAGTGTCAGTTTCGAAACAGCAACTTCGATTTGGCGTCTTCAACCAGCCCCTTAGGATCACAGGGGAACATAACTCCGCCAGCGCTCTGACCTTCCGCATATCAACTCGGCTAATTTGGCATCCGCATGACTTGTTTCGAGGAGAAATGATAATCCCGGATGGATAGATATATCGAAATTCGACATCAATACCGCTCCAGTTGTAAAGTGGTGATTTCTCTCTGAAATACGCAGGGCGGCCGTTCTCAAAAATTAGTTCGTGTGTTAATGCTGGCACCGATCCTGCGTGCACCATACGAATGGATCCATCTACTGCATAAACGAGAGACGAATGCCATGGCGTCATAATTATCCCGTCATTTTGTGGAGTGATCGCTATGGATACTTTTGTTGACTCTGTGGAGGGATGAATCGATAATCTAATTGATTTATCAAACCTTCTCGCTATAGCAATTGCGAAAGCCCGCCCACGAGCGATCATGTTTCTTGCGGTTGCCTCGTGGCTTTTTTTAATCTGCCGCTTTGAGACAGACGAATCGCCAGGGCTGGCATCGTTATCGAGATCCTTTTCGAGAAATTTTATGTAGCCGCGGTAGGTCAGTGTTGTGTCAGGGTCATTTGATATAAGCTTGGAGACATCGAAATTATCGGGGATATTCCTCTCATAAAGCTGCGTCCGAAACCAGGAAGCATCCTTCAAATACTGTTTTTCTGACAATGGCTCTCCCATCTCGACTTCCCCAAGCAGATGCACAAGCCGAACAAAGTTTATGTTGCTGCAGCCTGTGTCGACAGCGAGTTTTCTAACAGCTTGACCGTAGGCCCACACTTCTTTATCGGAAATTCCTAGGAGATCTAGTACCGTTGTCAGCGGCATTTTGAATTTTACATGGACGCTCCAGTTACCTACCATTGTACATCAATCCATCAGAAACAATGTCTATCCTCGCACCCCTTGTGTACTCACTTTCGATCAGCTTGCAGAGTCCGTTCAGGTGTGCCAATGCAACTTCCTCGCCTTTATCCGGAAGGTGGCTGAGAACCTTGAATTTTTTATTAGGTGACTTGAACGGAAACGCGGGAAGGACCATCGGTATGACCTCTCCGAGCTCTATGTATTCTTGAACAAGACTCGAGATTTTATTTTCGGCTTCCCATGGCGCGTGAGCATCCTCTTTTGGTGCCATTCGATATCTCTCCAAGATGGAAACGATGACGTTGCTGACCTCCATGGATGTTTTAGGGCCATAAAGGAGTGATCCCTTTGTTTCCCCTGTTTTCTCGTCCACACCAGTTGCCGAGGTGTCTCCAGATGAACAACTTTTCCCAACGACGATGTCTGTCCCGTTTTCAATATAAATTATGATACTATGGTTTCCATCGTTTACTATTTGTTCGGTGAAGGGTAGGCCGGAACCGTGCAATCCATTATCCCTCCCGGCATTTAACAGCCCCTGCTCATCAGGGTCGGGGTTGCAGGTCTCTCTGATCATAGAGACCAGATCCGTTTCCCAGGTTTGAGCCTTGCACGCACAATTGCTGATGTCATCGCTCGGCATTTTCAGATGGATGATGCCATTCATTTTATAAATCAATTGGCTTGTGGGTAGATAATTTTTACTCTCAGTTATCAAACGAATAATGCTCATAAAGGATTCAAATTGCGTCTCCCCTATTCATCAATATATATCTGGATGCAAAAAGTCTGATCCCTACTGCGGTTTACAGCTCGGACTTTCAGAGCTAACTGTTATCAACAGGTATCCGCGGTCTAAAACCGCGTGACTCGCTAAGTACAGAGCCCAACTTTTGTGACTGGTATGTTAACATGTGCAACTTTGGCAACACTTATTCCGAAATCTTGCATAGCCCTCCTCGATCTGTCTACTTTAACTGGAGGTCGCGGAAGCGCTTAGCACCATCGATCGTCGTAACAGATTCTTTCTCCTGGAAGATAGCAAGGCTGAACTGTTTACATGTGAGGCTGCTATTACAACATCGGGCATGGCTGAAGTATGATATCAACTTTCCATTGGACTGTTGAGATTCTCTGACACACCATAGAGCTACTTAAGGCCTCTTGTGATAGTAGAAGTTGTTGTGCCCCCCCCCTCCCCCCCCGAACTTTTTTTGGCTCTTACTTATTATACTGGAAAGATGAAAATCCGGTTTCTTACGAAGGGCAGCTCTCTTACAGCAAGCTCAACTATATCTTTTGGAAGAGCTTATGAACCTCGAATTCTCACCCTTCATTTCCCGTCGGCCAAGGAAAAGGAAGGTAAAAAGTGATTGGCTTTAGGAGAAAATGCTAATCTGAGCCGGTTATGGGAGCGCCTATTTTTAATCATCGTGAGATTTTTCAACCTGACACCGATTTCGCTTCAACCATGCTCGAGAATGGCATTCCCATCCGCCATGCGTTGCGAACGCTCACCATGTGCTATCCTCATCAAAAGCCGACAGCAGCAGCCCCATCGGCTTCACTAAGACTAGCACAACAGACCAAGGCAGACACTATATGATATATGACATACATCATTGCGGCTGGATTGGTTACATCAATCCAGCCACCGGTGAATAAGAATGCTCATTCCTGTTCAGATAAGTTGTGCATTTTTCCCTTTTCCGTGACTATGATGCTTCTGGAAGTTTTCCGGGAATTACTTGCCCAGAGGATTAGTTTGTTGTTCTGATTTCCGCAGCTCTCTAATATTTTATTTTCCCCAGAGATGATGACTTTCAATTATGGTATTGTCATATTGATTGAAGTAGCTTATCTTTCAAGCCTCCAAGTTATCATCTCCAAATTGGAAATGGAAAATCCTTTTAATTTGCAGCTGGAACACACGGTACATATCCCGAATGAGTTGCATTATCTGGCTATCCCTCATCTAGCGAGCAGTAGGATGTGGATTAGGAGTCCCTAGCACTGGTCCATGATAAGAATTTCTATGTTGTCGGGAGAAGCCGTTTAATCTTCACTTGGCAAAATACCTATCCCTGGCAGCGTATTCATTCAAACCGTTCCTTTCATAATATATATAGTTGAATCTCCAAAGCCCTTGCGCCAAGTCAGCATCTTTTCCCTTGTCGATGCCTACGAACTGAAGCCAGTCATTAGACGGCGCTGAAAATTACCCCTTTTGGTCTGTAATGGTTTACATCAAAAGTTTTTTTGTTTAAAAAAAAAAGGGAGGGGGGCGGGGGGTTTCTGTGTATATAGCCCAATGAAGCAGCACCAATGCAAAAGGCTGTCAAAAATAAAAATAAAAAATAAATAAGCAATATAATAACCAATTTCTTCTTTCCCGGGGCGATAATATTTTAGTCGCAAATAATGGATATTGGCGGTCTCAACTTGGACTTGAGGTGCAAACAAGCTTAAAACTATGCCCTATCCGAACCATGGAACGGAATCAGCAGATTCCTATTTGGACTTAGTGCCGATCTGCAAGATCCCGCCTAACCTTTCTTCAATTTCTGGATATCAGATTTAAAAACGGATAACTTGGATATTTTTCAACAGTGACATGATGTTTCGCAGCTGGGGAAATTTTTGGTTTGTTCGATTATTTTCGTCTGCGAAACATGTTGAAATTATAGCCAAACGATGAGATGACGCCCCGTCAACTCGAACGAACGAGAGTTTCTTTCCCAACTCATAGATAAACACTACGATTGTTGAGCGGAATGTAACAATTATGCGGTCAACTTTCAGCAACCACTAGAAATAGAAAACTAGAAACCTTCTTATATATGGAATGATGCGGATTCATAATTTGTAAAAACTTATAGAGGACCGGAAATTTAGGGTTGTACCCTCCAAAAGGAGTGGACAACAGGTCTCGCTGATTGGACCACGACCGTTGTTCTTAACATCCAGCGAACAAGGATGACATTGACTCATTCTCGCCGATTTCATCTTGATTAATTTCGTTCTGATCATTCTGAAAATTTATAAGTTTATATATATATATATATATAGAACGCAAATTTTATGCTTAATTTTTCTAGTGCATATGGGCGTGGCCGAATTTCTGTTTGCTTTTTGAAGAAGTGCTAGTTTCGGCAAATGAACGTATGTAGTATTCAAGCGACGTTATGCATCCCATGACTTTTGCAACGAGAGCGGCACGAACCCGTAGATAGCCACACATTAACTGCCATCACTTATCACCTTTTCCTTCTTTGCATTAGTGAGAGCTGATTGCACCGTGAATCTTTTGGGCAGGAACGCAACGGCTGGTTAAGGTGGCACAGTAAAAGCGTCTGCTGATGAAAGGGGGAAATATCGAGCTTGAGAAATTCGTGAGTGAACAATCATTGAGTATTCCGCGGAGAGCAAAATAGCAACAAGATTAGAGTTAGAGTATGCCTGGGTGGTGCAAGAGTCAAGCAGTCGTAGTTGCATAAATGAAGGCATGGAGCGCTTGAGAAGGATTTCTGGATTGGAATTGAGATTAATGTTAAGTTTGAGGCTACGAATCGTTCTCATCAGTTTCCAGTCGTGCTACCCGAGCCCTGATTTTTGAGGCTGAGCCATGGCTGGTATTCTATTGCTTGCACGGCAATTCATGCCTTCCCCTGAGCATTCCAGAGAAGCGCAAGCTCGAAGCGAAGAAACATTTAACGATGGTGATACAGACGGTTTCTATCAACTGACTATTTCAACTGTTACAGGAATATCGGTTCGCTGTAGATGCTCATCAGATGCATGATAATTCCTCATGAGGGAGACTCTATAATCGCCTCAGCGGATTTGCATTCGGTCATTTTATACTACCTGAGTAGCTCTTCCGGTGCTATTTCTTCTACCCCTATTGTGGATGAAACGAACTGATTTCATTTCCGTTCCTCACTTTTCTGTTCCGGACACTGCGCTTGCGGCAAACCGATTCTGAAAATTGGTAACATTCTCGCGACATGGCTTTACTTGCATGCGTAGGGGCTGCTGCAGTCCTATTTGCCATCACCGCTTGGTGGTACCTTCGCATCCCATCCCACATGCCCAAAAATATCCCCACAGTTCCATTTTACGTATCCAGCATCGCACATTTCGTTGACCTTGGCCAGGATAAGATATATGACCTCTGGCTGCGGGAGCCACTAGAAAAATATGGAGCTGTCAAGTTCTGGGTCTCGTCCCAATGGACCGTGCTTCTAGGGAAGCCGGAATATATCAACAACCTCCTCAGGAATGAGCAAGCCTTTCCGAAAGCGGGAAATCATAAAAGGATTCCTTTCAGTGTTATTGGAACTTTTCTTGGGAACAACATAATTAGCGCTGAGGGGGAGACATGGAAGCTCTACACCTCTATCATGAAAGCTGGTATTCAAAGACGCATCACAGACACAAGCAAGTTGCTGGGGAGGTCAAGGCAATTGGTTAGAGGCATCCTACAGTCTCAACAGGCGGCGGCCGCAAATTTTGGCATCGATCTAGAGTCGTTAGTACAAATGTATGCGATTTATGTTGTGGGAGAACACTTCTTTCAAACAGATTTCCAAGTACGTCGAATCTCGGAATCCAGGAAAAAAATGAATCCCTTTAATATTCTAACAAACAACTGTTAACAGCGCCTCGAATGCAACGAAGCTACAAGACTGGCAAAGTATCAGACAGCCATTAGGGGCAATGTTTTTTCACCTTTGTATTTCAGCTTTCCCATCCTTGACAAATACCCCTATATCTTCCGGAGTCGAAAGCGCGCGTTCCGAATCGTGAAAGAATATGAGGACCTGCTGTACGAGATTGTTCGGGTCCCTCGACCACGGGAAACCCCAGAAGACCCAATGAATCAATACGAGCGACAGGTGATAGACGATCTTCGAGACGCCCTTGATTGCGGAAAAATCACGGAGGTCCAGTTCCGCGCAAATGTGAAAATTATATTTGTGGCTGGTCACGAGGATGTGCAGCATCTGCTCAACTCGGCATTTTATGAAATGGGAGTCAAAAGTGTTAGTTCCCCAATTTAAAACCGTTTCTTCGTCTCCTAAACTGGATGAACTATAACAGGGGAAACACTGTAGGACATACAACAAAAACTTCGATTAGAAGTCTTGAATACAGGGTCTGTCGAGCCAACGCCGGAAATAGTTGACAGCCTGCCTTACCTAGCCGCGATAGTATTCGAGCTACTACGTCTCTACCCACCACTTCAACAGATCATCAACCGGAAAGCATCAGAAACGGCCGTTTTAGGCGATGAAATCGTCATATCACCAAACACGCTGATTGGCTGGACTGCAATTGGTGCGCATACCAACAAACTCGTTTGGGGAGGCGATGCCAGGGAATTTGTCCCTGAAAGATGGGGAACCACAGTCGACACAATACGAGCGAAGTTCCGCAGAGAAAATGCCCGGGGAGCATACATTCCGTTCAACGCACATGCGCGGAAATGCCTTGGCCAGGGGTTTGCCTTGCTGCAGATTAAGATTGCGTTATTCGAGTTGGTGAGGAACGTGGAGTGGGTTTTGGATCCCGGATCTAAAATGAAGCTTGCCCGGGTGAGTAATTATGAAATTAGCAAGGCAGCTTCACCACATCGTATCACGATTAACCAATCCTGCGTCACAGGGTTTATTGAAGCCTACCGGTTGTAGGTATATGTTCAAGGATAGAACGAGTACGGAGAGCAAAATGAATTGAACTCTCCTTTCAAGTCTGTGGCTGACGCCTTCCGCAATTTTTTCCGTACGGACGGGTTGAAAAGCCGAGATGCAAGGAAAATAATACAGGAGGCTCAGATGTGGGGGCGGGAGGACACGGTTTGATGGTGACAGGTCGGAAGCTCTTTTGTCTCACATAAACTTGTACCATGATTAGTCCACAGCCAAGAATGGGAATGCTTGAAGTATCCAACGGCGCTTTATTATCAGTATTAGAAGCGTCACTTTCATTCAACTTGTTTCCGTCTTTTTGCTCATTGTAGCTCACAAGTGCTGAGACGCCAAGACCAATATGTTATTTTACCAACGGCACTTTATTGGCCTCACTCATCTCTGCATATTTCTGCAGTCCGAGACAAACATAGGCCGAACTGCTGAACTGCTGAACTTACATAGGAATGTGTAAGAAGGCATAATATAACATAGATATTATTAGGGTTAGGAAGCATTAAAAAAGCCCTCCCTTCGGAAAGATCTGGGAGATCGATTCGGAATAAGAACAAGCCGTTCTCGATCAACAACCACGGCTACATGCATATGTTATATCGATGGCCGTCGTCCTACCTGCATGCCTTTCGCATCACGCCCCTTTGTCAAACAATATCATAATATCACACAAGTTGAAGGAATACCCTTGAAGTCGTGATTTTGTCGTACAGGATGCAACGGTTCCATTTTCAAGTTTGAGTTTTGGACTCAGAGTTGAATTTTTTTTTCCGTGCAGCTTGGATTAGGAGCTTTCTTTGATCATGCAATTTTGTCATCCCGGAGTACTGAGAAATAAAATAAAATAAAATAATGAGGGCTAAACAGGTAGCCTCAGAGTTGAAGCCTAGCCAGACTATGGTTGTTAACTGGCTGGAAGTTGCTCTACCACAGAACGGTGGTATGCCTCTATCGTTGGTCTGCACTCTCGGATTCCTCCTTTCCTCCTGCCCTTGTTTACCACGCATTTTTCTTCAATTTTGACTTCTCTAAATGAATCATACGAAGTAAACCATTCCTTTCAAATCACACCTCCAAAAGTTCCATTATATCTCCGGTGGAAAATGGCCGCGTTGTCTCCTGCAGATGTCAACGAAGAAAAGGGCATATCTGCGAAGAAAGATGGAACAACAGAAAGTCCACCAGTAGCTCAACAGCCGTACTCAGCGTTTTCGGCCGCCAGAAAAAAGTTCATTCTGTCACTAGTTGTTGCGAAGGCTTTCATCGCTCCGGTTTCTGGGAGTATTTATATGCCCCTGCTTCCCGTCTTGGCGGAAGATCTGAAGGTATCTCCAACACTGATAAATCTCACGGTTACGGTGTTTATGCTCACCTTTGCAGTGGCGGTTTGTCCTCTCCCCTTCCCCCTGCTTTGACATTCAATCAGGCATTTTTTCTTTCCATATCCCTAGGGATATCAAAACAAAGTCCAAGGCAATTCTCACTCTGGCTACAGCTAATTGATGGGCTGTAGCCCTTACTTTTCGCGAGCCTCTCAGACGCAAGAGGTCGAAAGCCGGTGTACGTTCTTGGTCTATTAATTGGCATTGGTGCAAACATTGCTCTTGCATCCGCCCCGGCACATTATGCTTCCTTCATGATATTGCGGGTTGTTCAGGCATTTGGTGGGTCTGCGCTTTACAGCCTTGGGGCTGGCACAGTCGTGGATATTTTTGAACCGAAACAGCGTGGTCGAGCCATTTCATATTATAGCCTTGGTCCGCAGTTAGGGCCAATACTGGGTCCGGTAATCGGAGGCATGATAGCACAGAGATCCACTTGGCGATGGACCTTTGGGTTTCTAGGTAAGTACGACGGAGTCCAAATTTTTTCATCACAGGTCAAATGTTCCAGGGCGTTGACAGATTATCAATCGGTTAGCTATTTTCGGTAGCGTCTGTCTCCTAGTTTCCCTATTCCTGCTCCCAGAGACCCTTAGGTCCAGAGTTGGAAACGGTTCCATTCACGATGGAAAGTCCTGGCTTCAGTGGCCATCGTTTAATAAAAGGGCCGAGCTCACGCCTAGGGAAATTGCAACCCAGCGACCAAGTAGACGCAACATACCTATATTCATGAGGCATCCAATCATTATGCTCTCATGCATCAATGTTTCCATCCTTTTTGGAAGCTATTATTGTCTTTCAGTGACATTCCCAAGTGTCCTCCAGGAACGATATGGTTTTAATAATGCAGAAATAGGGGTTGCTTTTCTCGCACCAGGTATATCGCATGACCACAAACTTAGATAGGAGTCGCTGATATGTTTTCTTCTCAATAGGGCTTGGTATGACATGCGGATCAGTTATTTGTGGGCACTTGAGTGACTGGGCCCGCCAGAGGCATCTTGAAAAAACAAAGGCAGATGAGGCTGCACCCGAACAAAGGCTCCACATCCAAATTATCGGCACAGCGCTATTTCCGATCGGAGTTCTATTATACGGATGGCTGGGAAACTTCGGTATTGGTGTCGCAGGTGTAATCATCTCAATGGCAATCTGTTCGTCTGTCCAAATCGTCCCTTCAGGTAGCAGCTACATTCGCTAACAAAATTAAGGTGGATTTGCATTCTCGTGGACGCTTTCGACCAACAACACCTATGTGACGCTCGTCGCGCCTGGGCAAGCGGCGACTCTGGTTGCATTGACTTCGCTCCTGCGCAACCCAGCCGCTGCGATTGGAGCGGCCCTGATTAATCCACTCATCAGCGCGGAGGGTTTTGGATGGTGTTTTACTGGACTCGCAATAGTTGATCTCTCCAGTACGGGCATTGCACTCCTAAGTCTAGCAAAAGGATCCTCCTGGCGAGAAGCTTTTGAGAAAACGCATGGGAAATCAATGCGTCCATAGAAAACGCGATCAAAAACACCGTACTGGTAAAATGGTAGAAAAAGGAGGAGATTAGGATGTATCCATCACATGAAATACAACTTAAGCTATTAAGACAGTTGTCAAGGCTACTGCATTACAGAGCGTTAGTGTTCTGCCAAATTAATGTGGGCGAGAAGGAAGATAATAAACGGACCTTCTCAGTGACCTTCTCAGTGTGGTGAATGGGAACAAGAAAGTTGCAAAGTGACTCCAAAGTAAATAGTAAACACATGGGCTAATTGCTCTCGAGTTAGGCTCATTGTGGAGCAGGCGAATAAGCCCGTTCGTTGGTGGTAGAAGTAGTAATCGAAGGGCTGGTGGGTAGATTTTGCTGAGAAGCGTCTACCCACATGGAACGGATTGAATAGCGGGCGGAATCATGCAATGTTCCCTGCAGGAAAAGGAGACCCCAGCTCTGTTTTGCTTTTTTAACCAAGCCTTGTGGCGGTTGAGACGTCGCGCTGAAGCAGCTGTGCTTGCACGTTGTTTGTTGGCGTGCGTTGTTCAGCCCAACAAATGAGACCTCGTTGCGGCGGCTCTGCTTCCCCACCAACTCCATCGCTCGTTGTTCTCCGCCGCAGCGCCATCTCATCTCCTCCACCAACATCAACAAGCCTCGACAGCTGCAACCACCACAACAAGGACGCCAGTGACAGCGTTGCATTCGACTTGCTGCCCTCTTCTCTATGCTTTGGCCTGTGCCAACGACACCCCGCCCTTCTTGTTCCTCCCACGGGTTGATCGTATCCTGACGACATCCTGGCTGCTGGATACTCGCCAGTAGTACCTGTCAACTGTCAGCAGTGGCAGTAGCTGGGGCTGTCACCTGCTTCCATCTGGCGCATTGAGGTCTGTCGAAACCCCTGTCCCGTTTCCAATTAATGATGGTTGCCATTAAGCCTCCACCATGCGCCTGCCCTGAACCTCTCTATGCCCGTTGCTGATTGCTAAGAGCAGACAACTGCGTCCAGATAAGGTTGCATTGGCCTTAGACAAGCCATGAACTCACTCAATATCCTCTCATCCCGAGTCATCAGACAGCCATCCTCTTCCAATCCCCGTCCTCGCTCCCGCTCACAGGGCCCTGCACTTTCCGGAAGCACTCGAAGTGACTTAGCTGCGGGCAGGTCCTATAGCGAGGGAAAGCTGTACATTGCGGAGTCTGTTAGTGCCCAGCTCCTGGGAGAGATTCGCCATCACACCGACGAAAACGACGACTCATTAGACTTGCCTGACACAGTGGACGAGAAATCTCCCCTCCTGCAGGGCTTACAAACTGGCGGCATTCTTCCCGCAACAAGTAAACTGCAGTTGATTGCTCAACGCCTCTTTGATGCCATTGCTGAAACATTGAAAGTTATATTATCTGCGCTTGCCTCTCCAGGTATCTACGTTGCGCGTGCTTTTAGAGACGATGCCGGACACTACTCTGTTCTGACGCCAGTAAGGCGGCTGGGGCGGCTTACCGGAGGCCCAAACATGACCATGACAGCGGCACACGGCATTGGTATCCCTGCCTCAGGACGCAATGATTCACCTGGTACAGATAAGCCCCTTGGCGAGGGCGGGAGGAATATCAGGCGGCTAAGGAGTTCTACATCCCGAGAGTCAATGTCTTCCAATACGTCGGAGTCTGAACCTGATCGTCATGGGTCGAAACATTCTAATGGTGGAGCACGAAGATCGAAATCAATTCGCAATTCATCCTCCACTGACGACGGGACCCCCAGACGATCAATACGTATAAAGCTCAACACTGAAAGCAATTCGAAGCGAAAACATCAGAAAGTAAAAACAGACACATTGAGGCAAGATTCCGAGAGCCGTGCGGCTGAAACCTTGAAATCACCGATGTCTCCATCCTCCCATAAACTCACGAAATACCCCCATGCCCCATCTCCACCACGACCGCTCATACCGCTGCGACAGCCCTCGTATACTCCGCCCTGCAACCCCAGGTATGGACCATCTGCTCAAAAAACCCTTGTACTCGACCTTGATGAAACTCTTATCCACTCTTTGGCAAAGGGTGGCCGCATGTCTAGTGGCCACATGGTAGAAGTAAAATTGTCAACACCGGTGACGACTTCAACCCCCGAAGGATCGGCGACTACTATCGGACCTCAGCACCCCATCCTTTACTATGTCCATAAACGGCCACATTGTGATGAATTTCTCCGCAAAGTATGCAAATGGTATAAACTGGTTGTCTTTACCGCTAGCGTCCAGGAATACGCAGATCCAGTTATTGACTGGCTCGAACAAGAACGCAAATACTTTCATCGTCGATACTATCGGCAACACTGTACATTACGGAATGGCGCCTATATCAAAGACCTCAGCTCTGTAGAGCCGGACCTGAGCAAGGTGATGATTTTGGATAACAGTCCTATGAGCTACATTTTTCATGAAGGTATGTGCAAACTGATGCCATTTAAAATACCTTCCATAAACGAAGTGAAGCCTGCAGATGCGTTTCAACCTGCATACAATGAGCAGACCGTTTGCTAAAAAAAACTTTCTTGGTTTGTTCAGATAACGCCATTCCTATCGAGGGCTGGATCAACGACCCTACAGACAACGACCTCTTACATCTCATCCCAATTCTAGAGGCGTTACAGTACGTAACTGATGTTCGTGCTCTTCTTGCATTACGACGCGGAGAAGCAGAAGCACAATAGATATCCGTCTTGGAGCAGTGTATATATCGGCTAACTTGTTCTTTTCCGTTTTAAATTTATTAGTTTCTTTTTAATAATCCTTTTTCTCCTCTCTTCATGTTTCCTTTTTTTTTTTTTTTTTTTTTTTTTTTGGTGCTCCTCACCTTTTAACCACCTTCTTTTCCTCCTTTGAGTCCTATTTAGCAATGGTGTCCTGTCTTCTCTGGCATTCGTCAAGCTTAAGCTTTTCTTACACTTTCTCGGTTTAGATTTAATTCAATTTAGCAATTGGACTGTTTTGCTTCCGCTGATATATTCAAATGCTGCTGGCCGTTGTTTTTATCCTTCCTTACTCCATTTGCACCCTATCAAATGCGGGGCGGTGGCGAGATAGGATGGAACATTTCATATCCTCGTGGGACTAACCGCCTTCTCCGATTTTATAGCCAGTCTTTGTTCTACATATGTCCAGCCCTCATGGCTCATCTGATCACCCAGCTAGATCTGTTAGAAATATGTATACACATTTTGTATTTTCTTTTGGTTTACACCAAATCGTTGCCTTGGGTGCATTCATTAGGTATCCTGTTTTGTTTTCCACTGCGTATATATTCACTAGCTGTATTCGTACCTACTATCTGTATTGTCCAAAAGCTTTCATTCAATCTTTTATTTTGTGCATACATCCCTGACTTAGGACTTAACCTCTGTTCAAATATTGACATTAGGATTACTTTTGGTTCTTTCTCGAAATAATTTCATTTCTATCGCTGCGTTATACTAAGAAGAGGCCGTATGCACATACAATCCTATCCAAGTAGATGTCCTATTAGATATGCGAAATAAGCGCCTGACGTTATTTCCTCCCGTCTCCGAACCTTGTCCCAAAGCCATTATCATCATCCCAAAATATCCCCTCTGGCGTCCTCTTTCATCCAAAACTGCTCCCACGCTTTCTTCCACTTCGTCGTTCGAATCTCCTCCAACCAATCTAAAAACTTAATCTTCTCTTCTCCAATGGTCATATAGCCATCCTTGATCCCCTTCCATCCTTCGACTGGCCCCTTAATATACCAATGATTCGCTCCACAATACCGCCGCCAGTGATTATTCTCAGTCGAGTTCTTATTATGTGCCTGGCGTTTTTGATAACATTCCTCGCATAGATCGCAATTGCAACATATCATGCAGAGATATACTGCGCCGTTATCCCAGGACTCAATATCATCGTCCTCACACTCTCCGCTACACACATAGTCGGTGTCGGGGGCGAAATCTTCATTTTTATTTCTTCTCTTGCCGGATTTCGAGGAGCCGGCGCTGGTGTCAGATTCACTGAGCCAGGATCCAGAATCGGAAGAAGTGTTGCTTTCACTACTCCCATCTTCGCTGTCAGTGCTCCATTCGGACTCCTCATCGTTTGACCAAAAATGCTCCACTGCTGGATCAACAATGGAGAACTGTGCTGAGAATGCAATCTGGGCCTCCCTTTCCAATCCACCAACAGAAGCTAGGACCTTAGCAAGGAGGCACAGACTGTTCTGGTCATTCCAGCCTCTATCATCTGTTAATGATGACATGCACGTTTGGAATGTTTTCTCCAATATATTCTGGAACTCATGGGCGGGACCCATCTTGCGAAACATATTGGCTAACACTATAGAACCAGCGGTTTCGTAAACGTCTCCATCGTCCACAGCAGCCCTACGTCGTCGCGTTTGTAGCTTTTTCAATTCATCCATGGATGCTATCTTGTTCTCGACGGTATCTGCTCGCCGAAACTCCTCGTAAATAATATCGGTAAGGTCCAGTTGGGTTTCGGAAAGGGTTGATAGATCTTCATCACCGGTGGCCGGGCTGATGAACGAATCTCCATCTATTATTTTATAGAATTGATGTTTCGCCGTTGCGAAGTCACCCTTTATCGTGTGATAAAAAGAAGCAAGTTCCCAGCGGATAGTGGCGGATGACTTCGAATGGTCCAGATATGCTATTATTTCTTCATATGTTTTGATTAAAAAATCTTCTTTTCCAGCTTTGGCCGCTGCTTGACGAAACGTATCGTGCCTATTGTCTTCATCTTCAGATGTCAGCCAAGCCATCCGTTCCCAAAATGTCCATTGTTCGACATTCTCAATAAGCTCTGCGAATCTCTCTTGTTCTCCAAGAATTGAGGTTATTCCGTTCAGGGATTTTCCATCTAAAATCTCAGTTGGGCAAATGGCCCTTGCCTTCCCGTAAGATTCCACAGCCTCATTTAGCTTATCCATCTCACTCTCGCAGTCGCCCCGGACTAGCAGCGCTTTTCGGATCAAGAGGAGTGTTTCCGTTTCCGAAGTGGGATCATCCACTGAAGGCTGATTTGCAAGGGCTTCACATATCGTTTTATACGCCATGTAATTGTATTGGTGGTGATTTTTTCCAGATTTCTCATCATGAGATTCGTTGTCAGAAGAATCGTCATCGGTGTTGTCTAGTTCATCATCATATAATTCTGCATATATGTGTGCAAGAAGAATCAATGTGCGAAAGCGGCCGAGTTTGGATGTAGATATTGCCAACGCGGCATTACAAGCTGCAATTCCCTCATCGTAGTGTCCATAAGCCTTCAAAATCATTCCAATAGCTCGATATGCAGTTTCATCTTTTGGAATGTCTGAAAATACCTCCGAAAACCTTTTAATATATTTCGCATCGGTGATATGTTTGGATGGTATTGGTGGGCAGAGATCCGTCTGGGAGCAAATAGCAGCAGTTAGAAGCCATAATGCGAAGTTAGGAGTTTCATGATGCTTACCATCAAGAGTGCATCGGCACTAAAATCAAAGGGTTCGTTCTCTTCATTCACCTGCTGGAACCAATTCATGACATGGCCCCGAGCAAGCGGAACCATTATCTTCAATGGAGACTGGGCAGCCTTTTCCATCCACAATTTTGCTCCATCACTCAATTTCATCTCTTCCAACGATGATGCTCTACTGACCCATCGCGAAACAGATCTTAAAAACCCATTTCCACGTTTCACTGTCTTCCCAAAAATATCGCGGTAAACTGGCCCAGATTCGAGCTCATTTGCCGCATTATTGGAATTGTTCAGGATGAGAGATAGAGATTCAACGACTCGCACAACATCCGGCTCCGTTGCAGAAAGAGGATCAATATCCAGAAAATGATCAGCCCAAAACCTAACGGCATAGCCTTTTAAATGATTTCTTGAGGAGTTGTCTGTAAAACTGTAACAGCCACAGATGACATTGACAGACGTCTCAAACATTGTGAGATGAGCCAAGGAGGGCTTGGTTAGTAAACACGTTTCGCTCACATCGGCAGCAGCACGGAAGTGGTCCCGTAGAGATCTATCCAGAAATTGCAAGGTCGCCGCATTATCGTCAGCTATCATTTTCGAGGCAACAGAGTTATCATCATCAATGAAATTTTCATTTTCGTCAAATGGCTCGTCCCGGTTCTCTTCATATATTGACCTTGTAATTCGCAAAATTCTACGCAATATTAGTTAGCGAATTTGGGTTTCTTTTCTTTTCTTTTCTTCCCCTTTATTTTAATTTAATTTGATTTAATTTAAAAATTTTTTTGGGGGGGGGGGGGTAAGAGGAAGGGGGACAGAGGGGATAATTCAAGCTCTTCATATTCAAAGTTGAGATCACATACCTTGATGATTTTCCTTCAACCTCTTCTATTATATTATACGACCGGTCCCGGTCTAAGAGTGTGACCAATCCCTCCACTTCTCCGACAGTTAAAAGACGTTTTGCGAACGCCAGCCACAGTAATAGTTGCTTGAATATTAGCAGGTGTTCGGAAGTTCTTCGCTGTTGAACTTCAGTTAACAAAATATCATAAGCGGATTGGAGATTATCTGGAAGGCTCGTTTCAAGATCCTTCAGTACTGCTCCTTCCCTACCGATGGAATTGAATCGTCTCAGCATATGGTCGACATATAGCATTGCTAACGTAGAATTAGCCATCTTTTCATAGAAATTACTAAGTAGGTATCGAGCAAAAGAAAATAGGAAAGGCTTACAATCAGCCTTTTCCAGGATTTTGGAGAGGATTTTCCTTTTCGTCTGCCTGCGAAATTTATATAGATTCTGGAAGCGTCCCAATCTGTCTGTTATCAGGAGTGTCATCTCTGCCCGCAGTCTCTTTTTGGTAACAATAATTTCGAGCGGTTGGAGAGACTTAGGAGACGACTGTATGTCAACACGGCTTGTGAGGAGCACATGTATCTTGAGACTCTCTTTCCGTATTCGAGCTAACAATTCAAGAAATTTCGATCTGTCATTAGTGGGGATTTGATCTAGTCCATCGATGATTAGAAAGAGCCGATGGGAAGATTCGTTTCCGAACTTGGATTGGAAAAACCGCTCCCATAAGTCGGTCCAGTCATCAGCATCAACTCCGTCGTTTCCTAGTTCTGACGATGCCTGCTCGCAATATGACCCATTTCCCCCTGCAATTTGGATAATAATGCTGGACATCGCATTCGACAGGGACATAAATTCGGCTTGGTCATCTTGAAAGTAGAATGCTGCAACTGAAGTTTTCGGATCCGAGGCAGCCGATTCTGCTAATTCTTTAGACAGTAAAAAGGCGACGCAGGTTTTCCCAAGGCCAGGGTCACCGGAGATCCATAGATATGGATTAGTGGCCCCTTCACGCCATATCTGGTAAGCGTCTTCATCTAAAACCCATTTAGCTGATCCCTTTACAAAAGAGTATTCAATATCTCGAGCCTGCCAGGAGGGGTCAATGTTGTTCTCGAAGTAAAGTTTCACGGAATTGAAGGCTGCATGCTTGCGTGTTGTTGCATCTGCGGCTTTCCCGGAATCGTGTAACTGCATCTTTCTTGCTTCCTTCTGCTGATTTTTCAGCAATTTTTTGAAGTTCGCTGACATTTCGTGGAACTCATCTCGTTGGGCGAGGATGGATACTTCCATCCTTTCAGTTCTAGACTCGATTCTCTGGCTGCTAATGCCAATTTTTTCGGTTTGCATAGCAATGCCCGTTGTGTCCTGCTTTACGTCTAAGCTCGTAACAAGGATGACAGTGAGTGAGGCAGATTCAAGATCTGTGAGTGACTTTTCCATCGCAGTCTGGGCTGATTTCAGATTCTGATCTGTTCCGCCATCGATGAAGGCTTTTGCCCACTTTTCTATAGAATATAAGCATTATAAATGCTGAAGGACAGGCTAGAAAGCGTGCTTACTCCATCGTCCTTTCTTAATGTACGTGGTTGCAATACCATATATGGTCAACATAGCCGAGAAGACGCGCATAACATGAGACACGTATGCGGGAATCGAAGGCAATTTGCCCTCAATGATTGATAAACGTTCTAGAAAAGTCTTCATCGAATCGAAGAAATCGACTATCTGATCATAATCTGAAGAAATGTGTTTGGTTGTCTATTTAAATCGACAGATGAGGTTCATACACTCTTCACAAAATGATACTTTTATAAACCACATGCAAATCGGCTCGAAGCAGCATGGAGGCCGTGCGTACCTGAAGGAAGTAGAAAAACGCAGAAGATATAGCAACAGTGGGAGGGTAGGCCTGCAGATAAGGAGGGTAATTTTAGCAGAAACTCTTTTGCTTCATACTAACATTCCAGTTTAAAAAGAATGAAAATAGGGGCCCACCAAAGCAGCACCATCTACGAGGAATTTGAGTGATTCCAAAAAATTGAAATTTCCTGCCACAGAGGATCGAATCCTGTCGAGCAATTCGCCATCGTGTCGGAATTTATCAAAAGCGGTTTGCTGCAGTTGGGCATCATCGAGGATATCCTCGACATTTGTAAAATGGGGCATATCCTCGAGATTTTTACCCGTGTTTTCTTGATATTTGTCCAATGCTCGCTGCCATAGCAGTGAGATATCTGAAGGAATGGAGGCCTTGCCCATTGAATCCCTTGCTGTTCCCCCTGTTGCAGCCATTTCAGTACAGAGCTTTTAACACATCCAACTCCTCTTTCCTTCTCTTGGAAAACAATCAAACTAGTTTCCGTCCAGTAAATATTAAATGTCGTAAGGGTGGGGTCCAAGAACTCCATCAGATCTTCAGTCAAATGATTGACCTCATTGTTGCGGCAGAAATATTATCTCAACTTTTCACCCCGCCTGCTGGAGCCTTCGTGATGCTCAGCCACAAGGCGGGGCACTGTAGGCAGTTATTGGCTGGTCAAATGCAGTCAAATGCACTGCTTCAGCATTTTGTTCATGCCAGTGACAGCTGTCTTTGCTTTTCATTTCATTTTCTTTCTTTCCTTTTTTTCCCCTCAGGCATTGTGAGGGACGGTGTTGGATTCTTAACACTTTGTCTCATCTCCTTTCGCGGAATTAATCAGACAATCCTGCTCCTCAATTTATCGTGTCGAGTTTCCCATGACGAGCTCTTTTCAAATCACGCTGCAGATTGATTTTGCAATGAACGCCTTTTGTGTTACTTGGGACGTTGGAGGAGACTTCACGTCGGCTCAACTGCCAACACATGACCAGAGTGTACACTTCCAAGGTTGAACGTCGACGTGGGTTCAAACCCCCGACCATGCGCAGCTTTAGTCTAACCTCCTCAACTCCTAACCTACCCCTAATTCTATACTCCTTGAGGCGATGAGCGGTGGCGTGGTGTATTAGTAATGTTGGGTGTGGATGTTGAAAATGGCGGTGGTTCAAAATTCCTTGGCAAAAATTTGAACGACGAAGCCGTTGAAAAGTAAAAATAAGGAGTAGCTAGCCCTTATTAGTGTATTTTTTGCTAGTCAAACTGTAACCTGGAATTGGGAGTTGGAGTTTGCTGGTCAGCCAAAATTCGCGAGATCAGGACGAGGGTTCCCTCTCAAAGCTGTTCATCTGCATCACCGCCTTTTATTTTGCAAGGATGGCCCCGAAACTCACTCTGTTGTCAAGTGTCGAACGGCAAACCCCGAAGCAGCACACACGATATTTTCGGGAGCTCCAGTCGCTCAATATGAGATGAATTTCACGAAAAGTGACCCAAACGATTGGGTGTGGCGTAGGTTAGAAGCCATACTCAGCACACAAGATGTGCAACAAAGGAACAGGCAGACTGCTGATCTGCTGAGAGGGTTTTATTCAGGATCCCCGCCGAAACTGGCTATAGGATTGCTGGAGAATGTGATGTGGGCAGCCACCACTAACGAGAAATTTGAAGCAGCTGTCCGTGGGTGCGACCTTTATAAGGGACAAAGACCTTCCTCTAGTGTTCTTTCTTCTGAGGATCTTCTCCACGTCGACCAGGTTTTGGTCCTGCCTATAAGTTGAAGATAACTCGAATTGATGGCTAGTGGCCATTTGAATCAGAATTGCCTACTCTGTTTCTGCTGTGAGAGTTTGAAATGTGGTTTCCTCTTGCGATCTCTGTAGCAGTGGTTGTGCTCGTTCAGCCTGCTTTAAGCCAATACTTTCCCCCTACACCTGAGGATCTCCGCACAGTCTCGCTAAAAAATGGGTTGTCAATATCATATAAACAGGTACCCCTACGTCTTTCCTTTGCAGCCGGTGAGGCCAAACATTTCACATTTCAGGTTTCGTTGTGACTGATGTGTCCGTTAGACGACTATCTGTGAAGCCACCCCAGGTGTCAGAGCATACGCTGGATATGTTCATCTACCCCCTGGGACGCTCGAAGACGTAGGGGTTTACCAGAACTATTCAATCAATACTTTCTTCTGGTTTTTCGAGGCCCGTGAAGATCCTATAAACGCTCCAATAGCCATATTTCTCAATGGTGGCCCTGGATCATCTAGCATGTAAAATCCAACATACCACCCCCCCCCCTTGGTGTTATCAATTTTCGATAAGAAATGCCCTAACTCCATGATCTAGGTTTGGTTTGTTTCAGGAGAATGGGCCCTGCACCGTTAACCATGATTCCAATTCAACAACTCTCAACCCATGGTCCTGGAATCGAAACGTTAACATGCTATACGTCGACCAGCCTGTTCAGACGGGGTTCAGTTACGACAAGCTCGTGAATGTAACTGTTGAACTTGTTTCGGGAAACATCATGGTCAAAGATTTTTCAAACGGTGTGCCAGTTCAAAACAATACATTCTGGGTTGGGTCATATCCCAGCCAGATTCCTCAGAACACCGCCAACAACACTTTGAATGCTGCTCGCGCTTTCTGGCACTTTTCCCAAGCTTGGTTTCAGGGCTTTCCCCAATATAAACCGACAAATAGCAAGATCAGTATTTGGGCAGAGTCGTATGGGGGGAAGTACGGTCCAAGCTTTGCTCGATTTTTACTAGAACAAAACCGGAAGATCGAAGAAGGTACCATCGGCCACGAGGATGGCAAGATGGTCATTCATATCGACACGCTTGGCATAATCAGTGGCTGTATCGACATTTTTTCGCAGATTTTGACGTATCCCGAATTCACGCGCAACAACACATATGGCATCGAAGCTGTCAATAATTCTACTTACGAGGCTATGATAGACACTTACCACAAATCAGGTGGATGTGCGGAGCAATTACAACACTGCCGCAGGCTAACATATGAGGGAGATCTAACTCATGATGGCAGCAACGCCACGGTGAACGAAGCTTGCCGCAATGCATCCCAAGCTTGCGTTGGAGTTGAGGAACCGTATTCAAGCACAAGTGGCAGGGGCTACTATGATATCGCGCATCCTCGGGCTGATCCCTTCCCGCCTCCTTTTTTCCAAGGCTATCTCAACAGGCCACATGTGCAAGCTGATCTTGGTGTGCCTCTCAACTTTACAAGTGGCTCTCTGGCCGTCTACCGCGCGTTCAATACAACTGGAGATTATGTCAGCCCTGGCGCTCACGGATATACAAACGACATCGGGTATCTGTTAGAATCAGGGGTGAACGTGGCAATGATTTATGGAGACAGAGACTACTCTTGCAACTGGGTGGGAGGGGAGAACACTAGTCTTTCCATTAAATACAGCAATTCTTCTCGGTTTCGGGCAGCTGGTTATAGTGATATTAGAACGAACTCTTCTTACGTCGGTGGGCAAGTCCGTCAATACGGAAGCTTTTCCTTTAGTAGGGTATACCAAGCTGGACACATGGTTCCTGCATACCAGCCTGAGACAGCCTTTGAAATTTTCCGACGCGTCATGTTCGACATGGATATTGCAACTGGAAAGGTGAACACTATGATCGATAAAGCTTATTCTACCAAAGGTCAACGCACAACTTTCCAGATAAAAAATGAGCCGCCCCCAATGCCCAAACCCACATGTTATATCCTTGCCCCTAGCAGTTGTACAGACGATCAGGTGGCTGTCGTCGTAAACGGGTCTGGTCTTATCCTGGATTACATTCTCATTGACGAAAATACGAAACATCTATTTCCCGATATCAAATTCCCCACTCCATCATCTGCTGGAAGCACACCAACCAGCACAGCAAAGAAGGCAACTGCTGCTCGAACTGAACTAGGCAACGGATCCCTGAGTGTATATATGGTTCTTCTGGTACTTTTCCTCCTATTAGTAAAATGAGGGATGATTGGGAAAATCGGTGCTTCTCTTACGTTTCAAGACGAATAAACATAACCTACGCAATGGAATCTAATCTGTTTTAATGGGCCCTCGAAATACTATATCAATGTTTCATTCCGAAACATTTTACTATTTCTCATCTCCAACCCTACAAGTATCTTACTCGTAACAACTTCCAACTCCTTCCCACAACTTCCTCATAACCATAACATTGACAATGATAGACAGGTAACCAAAAGCTGTACAGGGGAATAAATATTAACCTTCATATCACCTCTAATCGACAATGTTTTTATTAAATGGTTTTAGGACCGAATAGTGAATTGAGAGGAGAGTCCCCTTCTTCCATCACCTTTTTGTCGTTGATAAACCGGTGTCAATGTGAATTGCCGATTAAATCGCCCTTTTACGCCATCCATTTTAAGCACTTTTTTTCCACTATGAATTCCTGCTCCGCTTCTATGATTCTCTATCTCCTTACTATTATCTAGAGGTTGCCATAACTATGTTCTCCCCCTTTATCTGGGGAATATCCCTATCTATTCCTATCGCTTGGCACTCCATTATTACTATTTCTATCCTTATTTTATTTGCTGGCTATACGCAAGCAGAGCCTATGATTACCACTCTGTGGTATTAATACTACAACATACGGTACATGTCGTCCTTGGGGGGGGGGGGGGGCGTCCAGCTACGCCCGTTAGGACTTAGCCCTCAGGAGGTTGAAGCTATGATATTTAAGCTATGTCTCAAAAGGTCCAGTTACGGAAGCCGGAATGGGAGACACAAAGGAACCGATAAAATACATTGGGGAATGAGATCGCTCGATACCATCGTATCAGACTACTATAAGCCATCCACTGACTGCATTTTTGCGGATTGTGGAAAGGTTCCTTTCCATCCTGATCATCAAATATGCTGCTGTGCAGGTCCAAAGCTTCATCTCGACCTTGCAAATTTTCTTCTGCCTGAAATCCCAGTCAACGCGAACACCCTTCCCCAAATTATTGGTCATGTTCATCGGCTCAATCATATCAAGAGGATGTCGTCCGGATCGCACCCGCTTTCATTTCAGAAAGGAACGGGCATTTTTCTTCGCTTATGTTGGCTTTTGATGAGAGTTTGGAATTTCGACTATCAAAATGTCCTCCTCGAATCCCTCATAAGTTTGAATAGTTACGACGTCACCATTACGGCAGCCCTTCGCCCTTCGCTCTCGCTAGACGGGATCCGATCACCCAATATCGTCTTTCCGCGACCATTACAGCAGTACTTGGAGAGCTTCTCCAGCGTCTCCATCACCCTCTGGTTGGCGATCATGAAAAACTCACGGTACCTAGATGGCTGATCTCCAGATCATCCTGGCAGGCAATTCGATGATGAATACCACCCAGAAATGGCGTCTTGCCATTTCCGACGCGAATATCTCTACACATCACAGCGAACGCATAAAGGGTCTTTAGTTTTGCTGGAACTTATGTATTCCTAACTTACATAGGCTAGCTTCACCCCTGCAGGAAGAGTGCTGTGATTCGGTAAATCGTGGTATGGCTTGCTGTATGTACTGTACGTTGATGGATTACTGCTCGACAAGAAGGGGCCACCCAGGAGGAAAAACTCTCCATATATCAAAAATTAGGGAGACAGAGGCAATAGAAACCAATCAAACACATACAATATTCGAAGGACGATATAGGTGTGGGTCTAACTCACCACGGGGGAGCGCAAATATTAGATAATTCTATGAGCGTGTCTTCCGCGAAGGCACCTTCATCCTGAAGGGCAAAGCCAGGCATAGTTTCTGAACCAGAGAACCGATACGGGAACATCCAAAAAGGACAACATAATAATTATATCCCAAATACTGCAGTTGTCCATGAATGTTGTGACATATCTTGCAATCTTTTAATGCGACTTCGCGTACGCACAGGGGTTCTGCCGTTGAGAATACTGCAGAAGGTCTCGCGGTCGAAAAAAACTATGTAGCCATGGAATCAGATAATGAAAACGATGAAGGATCGGAAGAGGAACGGTACACTCACGGCCTAGGGCCGGGGAGCTGTGTCCGTTGCCTAAAGTCGATAGGAGATGTGCCCAACTGGGACATGCTTCCCCCTCTGCTGGCTGGTTTATTGCAATAAACGACATGGTTTCTGAAGCTATTCGAAGCAAATTAGCAACCCCCTACAAAAAATAAAGAAAATCGACACCAAACAACATAATACTTACTGGCTGGGGAATTTCTTCGAAAATTTCGTCAAAAAACTGCTTTAACCGTTAGCAAACGTTCTTCTAGCGATAACCTACCGATTCTACGATGATTACTTACATCTTTGTGATAAAATGACGTCAGTGGGGGGGAAGGATATTTCGCAATAGTTTACAGGAGCAAGATTTACTAAAGGATCCCGGTTCCCTATATGCTTTGTGTGGCCGGTGGTGCTCCGTTTGATCCCTTTCAAATGACGAGTATGCAAAATTTCCTTCTCGATGACACGGAGCGAAACAGCTATTCCCCGTCAAGCCAGTTCACTCGCCACTTCGTTCCTTCAAGGAGCAGAGGTCGTCGTTGCAACCGCAAGCCAGGTCAGCATCGGGTAGGTTAATGCCAGCATAAATTCCGATATCGCCGACGTCGATGAAGCTGCATAAGTCATGAAGTGGAACAATGGCTCGTACTGGCCTGTACAAGCCCGAAAGCCATCCCCCTAGTTGAATTATACATCAGACATGCCATTCACTCTTTATTGCGTTCACTGACTCAATATTATCTCCAGAGGTCATACCATATGAGATGTGGGTTGTAAATCTAAGATTGCTTTGACATATCCAATTCTTTGATAAGGATTTAAGGAGTAGTCCATGTCTTTGGGGGACGAAGGATATCTCCCCTACCATTATATGAGCTGTGAGAGTGGTGGTTCTCTTCCGGGGATCAAGTTTGCAGCCAACTCTGAGCCCAAAATTACGTCCCATATGGCTGCAGTGGAGATGATACAACGATGCAAGCAATAAAAAAAAAATGGGTGCGGAAAGAGTCTGTGGAGAAAAGTGAAGTAATTCTTGACGATACCTTGGAAAGCACGACGTAATTGTTTTTTAGATTATAAAGATGCTGTTTGATCTGCTTGCCATCCAACCTCAGCAACATTGGAGAAGTATATTTGGGCTCCTCTAAAGAGAACAGCAGTGATAGTTGACTTCCTAGCGTGTTTTTGTCTAATCCATAAATGTATAGCTAGTCGCAGGTAACGAAGGGTAATAGGATAACATCAAAACAACTGACAAGAAGTGGAAAAAAAACAAAATGCGTTCTATTTTCACTCTGTTCATGACTTCAAAAAAAGCTCTATTGGCAACCAGGGGCCCATTTCATTGGCCGCCGCCGTCCTATTGGCCCTTTACTTTTGATTTGTTATATGTATTAGAGAACGCTTTACACGAAGCCCTCGCCTGCGAATAATAGGGGTTGTGTTTTTAGAACCTCTCTTCCACTCTCACTTCTCACGCTTTCTTTTGTTGTATAATTAAGCAATTAAGGGATGGGGTGGGCTTATCAGAATCGGGAAAGGCAAAACAAAGTGTTCCACGGTGAAAGGGTCCTATGGTGTTAAGTTTATTGGTAAAACGTATTCAAATCGCACAAAACAGGGGTTGAACGCGCCAAGCAAAATATTGGAATGATTTGCATAGTTAACTAGCCATATATAAGCGCGCACGATACCATCGACTCTTTTCTTCTCCATTCCCTTCAACAAGTAAAGGAGAATGATGAAAAAAAAAAAAAAAAAAAAAAAAAAAAAAAAAGGGAGAGAGAAAAGAAAGAGAGAGGAAAAGAGAGAAGGAAAAGAGAGAGGAGAAAAGAGAGAGCATCCTTTTTTCGTAGTGCCGAAGCCCTACGTGGAAAAACCCCAGAGGGGAAAACCAAAAAGAAAGAAAGTGATGTGCACCATAAACCAGGTAGCTGGTTTATGATGTGATATTTGCCTTGCGAGGAAGCAAGGCGAATAAACAAGAAGAGGGGATGGGGTGAAATGGGAAACACACAGAAAACATGTAAGTACTTGTCACAAGTACTTACTTAGAAGATGAAGAAAAGGAAGACCAGAAAGCTAAGAAAGTGGTTGTTGCGTTAGCTACCTACATAGTAGGTAGCTAGCGCAACTAAAGCCAGGTTGCCAGAAGGCAGTCTGTCCACAGGGGGAAAAAGAAAGAAAAGGAGAAGAAGAAAAAAGGGGGGCCCGGGGGCGGATAGGGGTTTTTATATCCCTTGCCTGGGGCGCTGAAGACGCTAGCCTTAAGCGAGATTCTCTTCGATGAAGTTCATTGGGCCTCGGTAGATGTGTTATTCACATCGGAGAGGGGAGGGGAGGGGGACGTAAGGGCTGGAGTGAATGGACGGTACAGGTGACGGTATCCCCGGAAACGTCGTGGAGCAAGAGAATGAGATGTGCGTTGTTTGTCTTTGAAAATCCGTGCAAACATGCATTAAGGTAGGATTCAAGATAGGTTTCAAGTAGCGCCACCAGGTATTTGCTTATCAGAAGCTGTGGATCGAATAATCGATATCTAAAGTCAACTGTTTGGCGCTCTGAGAACGGGCGAATGGGATAATATCTAGACGCAGAGAAAACCATTCTCATCTGATTTCATTGAGAAATTTGGAAATATTCCACGATGAATATACTATCATCGATAAATCGATTGATAGAGGGATCTAGCCCCAATATTATACGAAACAAAACCTCAGATCACTCGCCGGTTTTGAATTTATAAAACATTCATTGTCGCGTACTTCACTCGAGAAAAAACTATGAAGTGGAGGGACAAGATCGGAGCAAGTGAAAGATATAAAACTACCACACTTGATGGCAGTGACTGCTTGGATTCTATCAAGACTTGATATAAGCAAATCAAGATCTAGGTGGCATGTGTCCTGCATAACAAGGCAACAAAACGAAAGAAACAGCTGGAGAGAAATCAAATAAAGAAAATTCAAAAGGCCAGTAGCGTCTCTCGATCTCATATTACTGAGTCATGAAGAATGAGCCCCTTCACGGCAGAGGGCTTCTCAAAAGATATACAAAAGATATACACCACAGTCATTCACGCCAGGCACAAGTCAATGTTGACGAACGACGGTGGATGTCAAAATAAGCTAGGTGGCTGGCGCTTGGCATTCTTACTTAGCAGCCCCACTTGGGCTAGGCCGGAACTTTAAATCGGCCTCGTTCCTGAAGCATTGACAAAGTTCTACAAACACTAGACTTGATGAAATACTTGACTATTTTTTGGCTCTCCACTCTCCTATTTGCTCATCGGCGAAAGTGGCTCGTCAATGAAAACCAGAAAAAATCCGCCATCACTCCTTGAAGACTAAACGCGTTTCGCTGCTTTCCGCTCACTAGTTCCCCCGATTGCTTGCATGTCCAGGAAACCCTGTCACTGGACAGCAAAGGGAATATATCCGTAAATTGCAATTCCCGTCTGATGGAGCATTGAAGAGCAGCCGCGCAATTGTTGAATAAGACATTGATCCCGTTTTTATTCTTGCTCATTGGTCTAACGTTTTTCTTTTCCCCACAAATAGATATCCATGAAATTTCATGTTTTGACTGCTTGGAGCCGGCCCAATTTTAATCTTTGTGCATTGGATACTAGTATCATTCATCCTTTAAAAGTAGTTAGGCTACAGAATGTATTCAGGCAGAACTAAGCCTTGGGGGAAAATATTAAGCATTGTATCATCGTGCTTTCAGGGTCCTTTTCTTTGTACCGTGGATATAAACAACAATTGCCGATACCTCAATGCTTGCAAAATCCAATTGGGAGTTGCGCAGTAATCTAAAGCGACCAACCAATGAGAAAGTAAAGTAAAGCTAGGCACATTCAACAGGTTCCATATAATATATAATACTAGACAAAGAATCCCTTTCCATATTCAGGAGAAAGAAGCAGAGAAGCCAACCCGAGCTCATGCTCAAATCTACCTGTCTACATACCTCCTCGAGCTTCCTACTCAACCAACCAACCGCCACATACCCCTTAACAAACCATAATGGCTCCCTTCCTCACCGTCGTCGCCCAACATCCCCTGAGGAATTCCCCGACAAATATTTGTATGTTAAATGAAGGAAGTAAGCAGCCACATGGTTGCTATTCGAGATTGTCACATTGGCTGCAAAGAGAAAGACTGCAAGCCTTGGATGGAACAAAGGCCCATGTGGTATGTAAAAGGGAAAAAAAATAAATAACGCGGTTTAGATCTATATTTTAGTGCAATGCGAAAAATGACCATGGCATTATAGCTTATGTATGGTCTCCGATTTATGCCATTAGAATTGAGAGGAAAAATATGGTGCCGGTTGGAAGGGGGGGGTTTGGTGTTGGTTCACGGGTATATCTAGTCCTTTCTACCAGCTACGTTTTTGCAAGGGGGCGGAATAGATCCCGATGGCGAAATTTGAGCAGTTAATGTATCGAGGATTGTACCATATTACAATTGCTAGCAGATAGCAACATGCCTCTCTGTCATAGGTGAAATTCGAAAATTCATGGGGTATATTAGCTGATACCGATACATATGTCGACGACATCAATTTAGAAGAAGACTTTCCCAAGTTAGAACATAAAATGCTGCATATTCGAGCAAATCCTGGGAAAGACAACTTGGCCCTTCGATCTGGATATGTTTTAGCAAGCCATCTAAACGACTAAGGATTGCTTATATCGGTGAAGAAGGAAAAGAGCTGTAATTGCGAGATGTAACGAAGAAGCATACTGTTCCATTTTGTTGCCCATAAGTGATCAGGCATGGCATCGCGTGCTATCTGGGTATAATGATGGCGCATGCTCCATCCGGATGCGGGGTCTGGTAAGATGTATTTCGCAAGTTGCCAGGAGAGGACTGCTTTCCTGGGAAAAGTCCTGTGGCAGGATTACATCCGGTGCTCCTCCGATGTATCTCAGAAGCGCCGGAAGATGGTAGAGAAGGTTCAATGAATCTTCCCCTGAGATTGACGTATCAAGTTTGAAGTGTGCAGAGTAGTCAGGAGATCCCGGAATATCCATGCATGGATACCTAGGGAAGTCTGTTATCAGATCGATAACGAGGAATTCGATTGGTAATATTACTGGGATTACCAGATGGTACGTCAATACGAGGAATGGCGGTACGGAAATGACAATACAGGCCTTTCGCCGCGCTCTGATTGGCCCACGCTTTGGTCTCTCACCGCTTTGAGTCAGAAAACTTTTTCCCTTTTGCTCTTCCCCTCCCATATTCTTTGTTTTCTTCACAAACCACTTCTCACCACACACACAGCCAGTTCTATCAATGCCTTCCCTACTCTTCTAAGCATCCCATTACCTTTCACACATAGTATATTTTAGTGCTTGACGGGCACAGCAGCGCTTATGCGTGTAATTCCTTCCATCTTCACTTCTCAGGTATGTAGGCATTCATTTAGAATTGGGAGAATCGCTTTCCCCGTCAGCACGTTTCCTTATGGCTGCGGTCCCTGACTTCGATCCCTGGCTGACTTTTCTCTGATCTAGGACTACATATCTGGTACGCTCAATATGCTAAAACCTACCGTGTTAGCCCATTGGCACAACTGTACTAACTCAATCCTCATTGAAGATCATCTCTGGAAAGCTTCGGTAAATTGAGTCATAAAACGAGCCAGCGGGTTACAAAATATAGAAAAATCAACAATAATGTTTGCACGAGTTATCAAATCAGCCCCAGTGGGGACTCATCTTACCGCTGCTTTGAAGGGGCCGGCTTTTAACGCGCGGTTTTTGGCTACCGTCAATCGAACCGATTTGTCCCAGACCGCCAACCCTTCTACCAAAATCAGCCCATCCTCTCATGACAGGGCGACTTTCACAATCAGAGATGGTCCGGTATTCCACGGGAAGTCATTTGGCGCCAAGTCAAACATCTCTGGCGAAGCTGTCTTCACCACTTCTCTCGTGGGATACCCGGAGTCCTTGAGTGACCCTTCTTATCGTGGCCAGATTTTGGTCTTCACCCAACCCTTGATTGGTAACTACGGTGTGCCATCCGCTGAACGAGATGAAAATGGCCTTCTTAAATATTTCGAATCCCCGAGTCTCCAGGCTGTTGGTGTTGTCGTTGCTGATGTTGCCGAGCGCTACAGCCACTGGACGGCTGTTGAGAGCCTCGGTGAATGGTGCGCTAGGGAAGGTGTCCCCGCCATTTCTGGAGTTGACACTCGCGAAATTGTCACTTATCTTCGAGAGCAGGGTTCTTCCCTAGCCCGAATCACAATTGGCGAGGAATACGACGCTGATCAGGACGAGGCCTTTGTTGACCCGGAACAAATCAACTTGGTGCAAAAAGTCAGCACCAAGGCTCCCTTCCATGTCAGCCCTGGCAACAGCACTGCACATGTTGCTGTTATCGACTGCGGCGTGAAGGAGAATATCCTGCGAAGTCTCGTCAACCGGGGTGCTAGCATCACTGTCTTCCCTTACGACTATCCCATCCACAAAGTCGCTCACCACTTCGACGGAGTGTTCATCTCCAACGGACCTGGTGACCCAACCCACTGCCACGATACCGTCTTCAACCTCCGCAAGCTGATGGAGACGTCCCAGGTACCAATAATGGGGATCTGCCTTGGCCATCAGCTCCTTGCCCTGGCGTCTGGCGCTCGGACCATCAAGCTGAAGTATGGCAACCGCGCGCACAATATCCCAGCTCTGGATTTGACGACAGGTCGCTGCCATATTACCAGTCAGAATCACGGATATGCCGTGGATGCTTCTACGCTTCCAAGCGACTGGAAGCCTTACTTCATCAACCTGAACGACTCTAGCAACGAAGGTTTGTCAATATATTATTTCTATTCCAACGAATTGTCTATGTTTTATTTATTAATTTCTTGCTTTACAGGCCTTATCCACAAGACCCGACCTATTTTCAGTACCCAATTCCATCCGGAGGCAAAGGGTGGCCCGCTCGATTCTTCGTATCTTTTTGATATCTACCTGGAGAGCGTGCAAAAATACAAAACCACCCAAGCTATGTTCCAACCTCAACGAGACAGTCGCCCCAGCTCTCTGCTTGCTGATCTTTTGGGCAAAGAACGGGTTGGAGTACAGACTACCATTGGCGTCCAGACTGGGCCTATCGCAGCCGACTCTGCCGCTGCTACTGTTGCTGCAGCCGCTTGATTGATGGATTGTGCGGACGCCTTTTGCCTATATTCTCTTTTTGCCCAGGGTTCTTTGGCGTTTGATTCTTGTCTCTTGTGTTTGTTATTGTTTTGATCCTTCTGCATTTATCGCGTCTCGAGTGCGTAGACCATCGTTCAATCCCATGATACTTTATTTACCTACTAAGCTCTTTATAAATATATCATTCAATTGCATTATTATACCTCGTACTGCGATAGTCATATTTTTCTGCATAAAGACAGTTCCCTATCAGACCATCCTGCGTATGCCCATATTCAACTTACGTAACCACTTGCCCTCCTCGCTTGGGCAGCCACTCAGCCCTTAGCGTCAAGGCCGCTGAGTCAGCCGCGCACACTACAAAGCAAATCTCCTCGTCCTGAGGTCCAACTTCTCTCCTTCCTCCCAGCAACTGTCCCCCTCATCGTCAAAGAAGTGTAAGTTCCCATTCCCTCCCGCTGCCCGTCCGCTATAGAGGCGTAGACGCATATATATACTCTATACTTGAGGATAGATTCCTCAGTCCTTACATGCACCTTGCATCCATTGACGCGGAGCATAGCAACATATATCAAGTATGCAATTACTAACCACACCAACAACCACAACAGTTAAAACTCTGCGAAGATGAGAGCCAAGTGGAGAAAGAAGCGCGTTCGACGGCTGAAGCGTAAGCGCAGAAAGGTCCGGGCTAGAAGGTTCGTGCTTGTATTCTGGAACAACTTGCTTTCCTCGAAGGAAAACATGTATGCTGACTTGGAAACTACGCCCATTACAGCAAGTAAACAACCCAACCACTCCGTCTCAGTTTCTCTCTATTCATGCATGAAAACACGATCCTCTCGAGCTGAGAGTGAAACCGCACCGATTGTACACTCGCCATGAAAAAAAAGAAAACGAAGACAAGAAAAGCAAAACTTGAACTCAACGTAACGACCGCAAAAAGACGAACTCGATGAACCCCCGTTCCCTTACCCTTTGTTTCCGTCTCAAGCTCAGATCCCTCTTATTTTTTCAGCATGCCAACCGTTCTGAGCACTGCCTTTTGTTTCTTCATTAAGTTAACGAAAAGTTACGACGGGGGAAAGGAATTTGCGTCATGAGTTTATTGTTTTCTTTGAACGCCTCTTTTTATTTTTCTTAAATGTTCGGCCGCGGGAAATGAATGGTTGGGAAAGGGAAGAAAATGTGTTAAGGAAGAAACTTCATATGCTACCTTTTTTTCACGTCTTGATCGAGAGTCTGGTTTTTGTGTGGATGGCAGAGCGCTGGTCAATTCTTCCCCGTTCCTGAATGTTTTTTGTTTTTATGCTCTCTTTATATTTCCCTTGCACTTGGTCCCTGCAAATAGAGAGCAGTTGGAAGGGGAAACAGGAAAGAGGGCAAGATTGCATCCATATAGGAATTACGGAGCTGTTGGGGCTTACTTGAAAATACAAGCCTATTACTTTTCCTTCTTCTCGTTACCTCTTCCATTGTAATTGCTTTTTGGCGCCTTAAATCAATCCCCCCATCCATAATCATTACATCATCTTCAAGGTGGAAAATCCGGTTGTGGAATTTGACGGAATATGGCCTAAATAAATGAATTCAGTTTGTCCCCCATAGTAATGCCTGTACTCTCCTGTGACTCTTCCATTCGGATTCCGCAGAATTTGGATAGAATTGCCGGTGAAAATTCAAATGACCGACTGCTTTGTTGGCTATGTTGAATAGTCTCCCAGCCCTAGGTAGTTTGCACGATCAAGTTAGCGGCGGAATTTTTTTTCTATTCTTTTTCTCTGCCACAGACATCAAACCACCCCGAACATTCTACATTCCTCAAGAAACCCAATTCCAAGTCCCATTCAAATACCCCATTTTGAATATTGCCTCTAGGAAATTTACGAAAAAAACCACTAAGCCGACTAACCCACCAAACAACGATGGGAGTCGACCTCACAGCGGAGAAGAAGAGAAAACGAACTTCTGAAAAGCCCGATCGACCCAGCAAGAAACCCGCTCTTGCGCCTGTTGCGCCTGTTGCGCCAGCGGTCAAGGTTCAATTTGTGCAAAATACGAATGGGCTGGTTCCTATCATAGGTTAGATATACATATATATTCATTTTCTCCTGTTTTGCGAGGGTTCCCGAGAGTCCTTACACCTTCATTTCCATACATGAAGACAAGAAAATAGAAAACTAGCAAAATGAAAAACTAGAGCTAACATAACACTTTCCTCTGCCTAATCGATGCATATCTAGCATCTACGCCGGGTATCAACCTTCCAAACTCTATCCCCCTAACCGCATATTCAAAACCGCGCCATCAAAATCGATCCTCCGCTTCAAAGCAAAATGCAGCCGCAAACACAACCCTCTCCACTTCCGAATTCCTCCTGCAGTCATCCGCGCATCCAAGGATAGACTTCATCGGCAAAGAGGGTGAGAATGAGCTGGATACGCTCTGGAATCACTACGTGGCCGTCTATGACCCGGACGCCCGCACCCTGGAGCTCATGGAGGCGAGGAAGATGACGGTGCGCAGTTGTGTGAGACGTGCGCCCAGGAAGCCTACTAACGATGAGGAAAGCGATGGGGATCTTGCTATGGTATATTTCCCCCTTATACACATTGCTGTATCCCCTCAACGAAAAAAAAGAAGAGGAAGTAGAAGAAGAAGAAGATATCCACCTATCGCTAACTTGGAAATCACCGGTCAGCAATGCAACTGGGCAAAACGCACCGCCCTCACTGAAGCTTTCGGCACCAAACAATCCCGCAAAGCCATCCAATCCGTCGCAGAGAACGCCCTCCTCTCCAACACCCCAGCCGGCCTCGGGCCCAGCGCCGCAGAGAATGCCCTTCTTTCCTCAATCCCTAAGGACCACCCAACCGCTTCCGGCGGCTCCCCACAGAAGACTGCCCAGGCCGAAATCCAAGCTGCAAAGCCGCTCCCCCAACCAAACCTATCCGCCACGCACCCGTCGCAGGTCTACGCGATCGAAACCCTGGTTCCCAACGGCCTGTCGACCCTGCGCACCATGCCCGTCAAGGAGTGGCAGACGTCCATTGCTGCGGGGGAACCGGTGCTTTCAAGCTCTCGCTTCGTGGCGCACAGGGTCGACCACGTCGTGCGGTCGGGCGATGCGACGCAGCTGCAATTGCTACGCTATATCATGGTTCTCATCCAGCTGTCGCGGTCTCTAAAACCCAGTCGCGGTGGAGGAGCATCGTCAGCAATGGCGGCGGGGAGCAAGAAGCTGCCGCCCCGCGAGGACCTGCGGCGCATCCTCTCCTCTTCCTCCTCCACACAGCCCGGGAGGACAGCGACAACGGCCACGGCAACGGCAATGACATCGACGAGCAACCCATCCACTCTCCTCCCAGACTCCTTCCTCGATGCCCTCCGCCGCAAATTCGTCCCGCAGCGCTACTTCCTCTCCAAAACAGACGTCACCTTCCTGCACACCACCATCTGTGCGCTGTCCCTGCATATCCCGCCCGAGGCGGGTTTTTCGCACAACGAGCTTGCAACGGACCCTGCGGACCTGCGTGATGACCTGGGTCTCGAGTTCCATACCATCCAGCAGTACTTCAGGGAGCTGGGGTGCAAGGTGGAAAAGCCTAGGGAGAGCGAGTTTGCGAAGTGGGGGGTTAGGAGCAAGGTTGAAGCAGGGGCAAGGCGGATTGCGAAGTTGCGGGTTCCGGTGGAGTTTCCGAAAGTTAGTAGGGGAGGGAGGAGGTAATAGTAATAATACTAATAAGAGGCGGTGTGGGTGGGCGGGGATTTTCTAAGGGGTTTTTGGACAGAACTGCAATTGTTTCTCAACTCCTTGTTTCAGTTTTAGTTTGAATATACGAGCAAGGTCGGTGGTGGGAAGGGCGAAAATTGCATAGTGCCTGCTTGCCTGCCTTTTGGTTTTATTCTACTATTGTTCTACTGATATTGGATGTGGGGGGAAATATATATATAGAGAGAGAGAGACAGATGTATGTCCTTACCATCTCTGACTCGGGCCTCAACACCCACATAGCTTCATCCTGCTTGTTTCTCAAAATATTATGGAAAACCCGCATCTAAATATAATCCCATCCACCGATGAGAACCTCATAGTCGTGGGCGAGTTTAAAACGTGTTTTTTTAAACTGAATCGAAAAGGCTAATTCCATCGGGAAGTGATCCAACCTGTTACGTGCTGACAAGCTATATATTTATTTATATAACCCAAAAAATTAAAAAATAAATAAAAAATAAAAAATCAACAGATATAGTGTGCATCAAAGCACAAAAGAGGCGGGTAGAATTAAGTTTAACCCATCCAAGCAAACACTGGACAAAATATCACCACAGCAAGCTGGAGGGAATCATATAAATTACCCGTGAATAAATACGTAAGATCCCCTCCGAAAACCAAAAAGGGGAGTTAGTGTAAAGCGGAAATAGCTAAGAGGGCCAGAAAAGATACACAAAAGCTGGATAATCCACCAAAATAAATGAGCGTTTATATATATATATATATTTATCCTCGACATTCGTTCGAACCATAGAAGTCACAAAACCAAGTGTCATTGAGGCGGGCAAGCATTACATTGAAGGAACGAATGATAGACCGGGAGAAGTCCTCTCCACAAGTCAGGACTGCAAAAACTAAGACGAAAACCACTAGCGAAGGGAGGCCCACGTTGTGGGCGCAGGAGAAGAACCGGCCGGCTTTTGAATCCGCGCTTGACTTACGCAGCGACACCGATAGGAGCGGCATGAGCTGGTTCGTTCAAGTGAGCATGCGCCATCAAATCATCTTGCTGCAGATCCAGCATCATCTGCTGTTTGTGCAGTGCCTCAGCCTCCAACTCGCGCTCCAGTGCGTTCTCGAGGTCCTCTCCCTCACGCAGCCCAAGCTGGGCATCGTTCCAGAGCGGGCGATTCTTCGCATCGTCGTCAACCCCAACGCCCAAAAAACCACCGGCCGCTTTCCAATCGCTCGTCTTGCGGATGCCAAGGCGTTCCCAGACTCCCTGCAAAGCTTGGACCAGATGGTCGCGGTAGGGTTTAACATGGCCTGGTGTCGGGGTGACGCGCAGCCGCTCCTCGCCTCTAGGGACGGTGGGGTAGTTGATGGCCTGAACATAGACTCCATAGTCTTTGAGAAGCATGTCGGACGCTTGCTTTGCTACCTCGGCATCTCCAACGAGGATTGGGACGATGTGTGATGGATTTGGGATGACGGGGATGTCCTTCGCGTTCAATTCAGCTTTGACGGCGCGGGTGTGCAGTTGTTGGAGGGTGCGGTCGCGGCCATACGAAACCTGGTATTTAATGGAGGTGGTGGCGCCGGCCATGGTTGCAGGTGGGAGGGACGTTGTGAATATGAACCCTGGGGCAAGGGATCGGATGGTGTCGACGAAGGAGGCGGACCCCGCGATGTAACCACCAACGCAGCCGTACGCTTTCCCGAGTGTGCCCGTTATAATGTCAATTCGGTCCATGATCGTTCCCGCGGTACTCTTGGGGTTGCCCGTATCCAATGAGGCGTAGGTTTCAAAATCAAGATGCTCCGCAACACCGGCCCCGTGGGGTCCATACATGCCGACAGCATGAACTTCATCGAGGAAAGTGATCGCGCCATATTTATCTGCCAGGTCACAAATTTCTTTGATCGGAGCAATGGATCCACACATACTGTAAACCGACTCGAAGGCGATTATCTTGGGGATAGAAAGCGGCAAAGACGCAAGTTTCTGTTCCAGGTCTTCTAAATCATTGTGCTTGAAGACCATCTTCCTCGCGCCGGAGTGGCGTATTCCCTGAATCATCGACGCATGATTCAAACTGTCGGACAATATCACACAATCTGGAAGCTTACTTCCTAGAGTGGCCAGAGTGGCATCGTTGGCGACATAGCAAGAACTGAACACCAAAGCACTCTCTTTGCCATGCAATTTGGCAAGAGTCTCCTCCAACCTAACAGCATGTTGATTGTGGCCTGAGATGTTACGTGTGCCCCCAGCGCCAGCACCATAGTTATCAAGCGTTTCATGCATAGTTCGAAGAACCTTGGGATTCCGTCCCATGCCGAGGTAGTCATTGGCGCACCAGACGGTCACCTGTTCCTCTGGAGTGGACATGTGCGCACGAGGGAAATTGCTGGCAAGACGATTGATATTGTTGAAATATCGGTAGGATTTATCCTTGTGTTTCTTTTCCAGCTCGCTGTTGTAGAAGTCCTCATAATCAAATTTCTCTGACGCAGGAGCCTGCGGCTTAGGACCCGGGAAAGCTGCCATTTCATGTGCCAAAGCAGGCTTCCCGCCGTGAACCTTAGAAAGTGCCGGGTGAACTAAGTTTCCAAACGTATCAGTAGCCTGAGCAAATATAAAAGAAAAAGGACCAAAACAAAGTAAAATCCACGTAGCAGCAAGAAAAGAAACCTAAATGACCGCAAAGCAAACTCACCATTCTCGTATTTCCTGACAACATCTGGATCAATCTTAGCGTTCTTGCTCGTAGAAGTATGGAACCTCTTCTTTCCAGCAACGACACGCAATGCCTTTGCGTCTTTAGTGACGCCGGCGACACCACTGGCAAAGGTGCTGAATGCCCTGGTGGAGGCAATGCGAGCGCTCTGGACAGCAAGGGCCTTGCTCATGACAGGGCATCTGCGCGCGACGACCTGCAGATTGGAGATGGCACCTCCTCCAGGACTGGCATTGGCCATAGCTGGGGTACAGAGGGCACGGAGGGCCGTGGGGGAAGTCTTATGCAGAAAGGGGCAGAGCGAGCGGGACTGGTTGAGCAACGCCTCCATGATCGCTGTGGTGGTTGAAATCCTTGTGGTCCTTGTCTCCGGGATTCAGAGTGGTAAGCAAGTTTGCTATGGTTGACGCGGAAATGCTACGCCGGAATTCGACAGTGCTTTGAGTGCGTCTACGGGTAACTGATTCCGCCCTTCCTTCTCTTCAGGTTGGGTGGTGGATGTTCTGAATTGGAAATGTCCTGTGCTGAACAAAATGCAGATTGGCTGCGGCGGATGAATAAGACGCTTCTGATTGGCCTGGGGGAATGGATCCTTGCACTGACTAAGCAGCTGCGGCGTGCTTGGCAATGGCGGTCCTTCTATAAAAATTGGGCGGGGGAGGACTGTATATAAGTCTTGAGTCAACTACTATCGGAGGAATAAAACACAGAAGAGATGCAGGATTACCACTATCCTGGTCTCTCTAAAACAGCTCTCTTCAAGGGGTTTTTCAGGGTTTATCTACCCTTGGGTTCCTGTACTCCGAAGCTATTTCGGTGGTCTAAAGTTGAACGGAGCCCGGTCTTTTCGCCTTCTTGCCCCTCACTCGATACTGGTAGGGTTTGAAAACATACACAGTGCGGAAACCGTTAAGAAGTACACAGCGGAAAAGAGAAGGATGGCTGAATGAAGACGGACAGTTTTCCGGCCGAAAATTTGAACTCCGTTCAGCGTTTTGAACACCGTTCAGCTGTAAGCCCCATCCATCCCAACAAAGGAATAGCAACACTAATAACCAAAATTAAAGCGAAAGGCTTATTTCTTGAAACCAATCAAAAATCGTACGAAGATTGAACGAAAATTTCGGAAACTTACATATATTGAGAATGGATTGCTGATTCCTATGCTGCTCCTCACCGCCTACTACGCACTGCGCATCTGGTCAGCTTTACTTAACGTGCCCTGACAGGGATAACTCAAGGCTGCGTAGCTACTACAATTCAATGAGAAATACCTACGAATCTGTCTGACCTCTGTTTTTGGGCGGGCTTTCAAATAGAAGGACGTAGCCCATGTAAACGCAATTGTCATCATTAAAAATAGAACTTGCTTCCAACGGGATTAAAGTGGTCGGGGTCCAAAAAGGATCAAAAATTAACTCTTACATGGAGTGAAGTGATAACATGATTATCATCGCATGAGGCCTTGTTTCTTTTAAGTTTCTTGGCTTCAAGCCGCCCTCCGCGGTTTAGCAATCCCCGGGAGCGCGGCGGCCTTGTGAGCTTTTATGGCGGGAGAGCTGCTCCAGTGGAATGGAATGGTTGACAGCCTGTTCTCGGAAGCACCAATATTGTGGCACGTTTAAGGGCTCGCCGATGCCTGGCTTACTAACATATATATACTATCTTCAGATGATCACAGCAAGATATAGTATTACAATTGAAGATAGCAATACAGAAAGCAGCCTGAATGGATTAAGAATTTAGCCACTCGATCAAAATCGCCCACACAACTACAACTACAACTACTACTGACCGACCAGCCAGCTGCCAGGTACTTATTTACTTACCCCACATAGTTAAACCGGTATGCCGAGAAGCTCTGTGACATGGTAAACTGTCCCAAGTCCTCCTATTCACAGTCCTATGACTACTTACATATCCCCAACCAAACTTAACTTTGCTCAATGATCGAAAGAGCAATGTCCGCATTAAACCCGTTATGAACTTCTTTTAGAATATAAAAATAGAACCAAAAACAAATCTCGACGGTTAACTATAAGGTTTCAACCGCCCGGTTCGGTTCCCCACGACAAACAATTACAGCGTATAGCAGCGCGCAGCAGGGGTTCCCCATGGTCTTTTTTTCTTGATTCCCCGGCAACATCCGAAATTCCTTGGGTGACATATATATATAGCATATGCTCCTTGGTTATGTTATTCATCCCATCCCATACCTGTTAACTACTAACGTTAGACGGATGATGAGAGCGAACAAAACCCTTAAGTTAACGCCAAGCAGGCCCAAGCTTGTCCATTTCAGCAGAACCGCTCTACAAGCGTAACTAATGAATCATCCATCAGGAGGAGGGACCGGGCTGATTATCCATCCACCCCTCTCGCTTCACTGGTAAGCAAGCAAAGGAGCGTGAGAATGTTCATACATCCAATACGTAGCTAAATAGATCCATTCTCTCTCTTCCAGGGATCAGAGAGATTGGTTGTGTGTTCCTCGGAGGGGCTTTGTACAGTATAAGTGATAGTATGTGTCGGAAACTGGATAAATGTCCGAATATTGACCCAAATACTGAATATCGATAGAGTATTGATAATGTTAGGCCACTGGGGGCAAAAGAGCTCAATCACCACCAACGCCGTGGTGGTAGAGAGGGGACGACGAATCACCCAATCCAATCCCTCCAACAGATAATTGATTACATGATAAAAAAGGCAGTATTTATAGTTGAGGAAGAGAATGCTCGATTATACGAGAGAGGCAGTGAGTTGCTCAAAACGAGATGTGATAACTATAAGATCTCTGATAGTTATATTATATGAGATATTACGAGATATTATCTCCGACAGTATGTCTCAGTACATGTACTGTATCTATGGAGCGGTAGGTGATTGATTGTAGGGTAACGAGAGCTTTCACGACTATCTACTGAACTGAGTCAAAGAAAGATGACTCAAAAAGAATAATTAAGATTAGAAAAATTTTGATGGGTTTTTATCAAGAATGAATTGCTCATCTCACATACTCAGTTCTGCATGGGATTGGAGGTTTGTAACTAGTTATCAATCATATCAATCAATCAGCCACTTAATTTCTCAACTTCCAGATATTATTCATTTCTCTTATGTAGCTATCTGAACATAGGAAAAGTTCAACAAAAAAAAAAGATTTAAGAAATAATCAATAATCAACAATAATTAATAAATAAATAAATCATCAGAATACAAAAAAAACCATGAGTGAAAGAAATATAAATAACAGATAAAAAACAAAATTCCATCAAAGCAGTAGCAGTAGTAGTAGTAGTAGTAGTAGCAGCAGCAGCAGTAGTAAGTAGTAGTACACACTGTCTCTCCAAACACACATACACAACAATTGGGGACGGGGTTGCGCAGCCGTTTAAGAGATAGACAGAGAAGAAAAAGAAAGGAAGAAAAGCAAGGAAAAAAAAATTACATAGCAGCAGACCCCTTTCTCCTCGGGTTGATTTTCCTCATTTTTCCCCACCCCGTCCCCTCATCTTTATACGAAGGAAACATAAAATAAACAATTGAAACAGACAGAAACCCAGAAGCAAACTCCCAAAAGGACACAAGAAAAGGGGTTTTTTTTAAAAAAATTAAAAAAAAAAACATAAAAAAGAAAGAATTACTTCCCCTGCCTTTTCTTCGTATTTCTCACAAGAACCACCACCACGGCTTTTGTTTTTTTGAAGGAAAAAAAATAATAAAAATAAAAATAAAAATAAATAAATAAAAATTGACAATCGAACATCAAAAAAATTCAAAGAAACCAATCAGTCCAGTCAATCATCCCCATCAATCAACCGCAATCGCTCCTTGGTCGTCTTCGCCTTCTTCGACCGGCTCGCGCCTCCACCGCCACCACGGCCGCCTCGTCGAGATTTAGAGCCTGCAGTGGGTTTATGATGATTATCCCCCGCCGAGACAGGTGTCGCAGCGCCAGATGGCTTCGCGCTGACGTCTTCGAAGTGTCCCTCTCCTGTACGTAGCACAAAGACAACACGGGTCAGCCAGCCGGGTCGGCAGTCAAAGCAAAGCATTTTTTTTCCTCCCCCCAAGCCTTTTTTTGTAGACCGGGCGATATATAATATACATGTTGCAAGAGATGGCAAGAGTAACATACCTTCATGATACATATCATCCAACGTGACATCCCTCTTCCTCTTTCCACCAGCCGAAGAAGCAGCACCTTTCCGCCCACCTCCTTTCTTCCCTGTCGCCCCCATTTCCTCAGCTTTATCCATGGCCTCCTTCTCCAGCTGCTCAAGCATTTCTGCCTGGTTATCATCAGCAAGCCACATGGCAATATCCTTCGTGCGGTTCTCGCGGCTGCGCGTGTTGAAGTCAACACCAGCGCCCGAGCCGCCGGATATAACCACTCGCTGCACTTCTTCCTTTTGCAGCGCGCGCTTGCGGATTCGCTCCTCGATGGTCCCGCGGGTGATGAGGCGGTAGACGGTGACTTGTTTGGTTTGGCCAAGGCGGTGAGCACGGTCCATGGCCTGCGAGTCGATGGTGGGGTTCCAATCGGAGTCATAGAAGATGACAGTATCGGCGGCTGTAAGGTTGATGCCCAGGCCACCTGCGCGAGTGGAGAGGAGGAAAACGAAGATCTCGGGCCGCTGTTGGAAGTCCAGGACTGTGTCACGGCGGTCTTCGAGTTTGGTGCTGCCGTCAAGTCGGCAGTATTTGTAGTTGCGGTAGGTGAGGTATTCTTCCATGAGGTCTATCATGCGGGTCATTTGGAAGTAGAGAAGGACGCGGTGGCCCCCGTTCTTAAGTTCTCGGAGGAGCTCGTCCAGCTTAGCTAGCTTGCCTGAGTCTGTGACGAATCGTCTCATCGATGGTACGGAGATATTGGTATACCGGCCCTTTTCTGATAGGGGCTGGGGAAGCATTGGCATGAAACTGAATTCAGCTGGATCCAGCTTCTTCTCCAGAATCTCTGCATCCATGGCCCGCGTGGTGGTTCCAAAAAGTGCGTGCTGGACGGATGGGTTGAACAAAGTGTCTCTGATTTCAAAGTTGACGAACTGGTTAGAACACGAGACGGTGATCGGAGGCGCTAACGCCCCAGGCTTAGCGCACGGCTCGATCAATCCCAACCCTGCATTTTGGAACGTTCTGCTGGAAATATTCAGCAACTCATTCATGCGTCCTTCCCGAGTGATTTCCGCCAAGGCCCGGCGATCACTCCGCTCCACGATGTTAAACAGGCTATGAGAAGGGACTGCTGCGGAGAGGTCGTTCTCTTTATCATCGTAGACGACCATAAGCCGGGACAGACGCTGTGAATATCCGCGACGCTTTATTGCGCGCTCAAACACTCCCTTGCGGGACAGTTCGAAAGCCTCTCCAACGGAGGTGTCAGCAAACCGCAGCCACGAGAATGCCTGGTCCCGTTTCACACTTTCTCTGATGTTCTCCGGTGTCCAGATATTCATCATGTGAGACAGATATTTGCCGTTGAATCCAGCCCTTTCATTTCCTGGGCCAGGAACATCGAGACGTCCATGTGAGCTACAAATGAGGCGTGGTAGATCGTATTCAATAATATTTCGTGTTGAATATGCAACGTCGATAAGAGGGCCTTCCCGCAGGAAAGATGCCGTTTCCGCGAAATATGCAGCAGCGAACGGGGAAGCGGTCTCGGCCCGCTCAAACAGATCAGGGTGATTACAAACTTTTCGGAATTGCATAACCAAGTTCATCAGTGTTGTACTATCCGAATCATCTCCAATAGCCGCCTTCTCAATAAGATCCATGATGCTGACTCGATTTCGAAGGTTGGTGTAATAAGCGCGCTGGCGGTAAGTAAGGTCACAGAAAACATCTTTTTCCACCTTATCACCAAGCTCCTTCTGGACATGCTTCTTGATACGACGGAGCATAAACGGCTTCAGGATCATGTGCAGCCTCTTCAGTTGATCCTCGTTTAATTTCGTATTACTCTGGGCATGGCTTTCGATGTCCTTGGAAAACCACTCGCTAAACTCGTCATGGGAATCAAAAAGGGTAGGCATAATGAAATGGAGCAAAGCCCACAGTTCCTGCATGTTATTCTGTATAGGAGTTCCAGTGAGCAGAAGTCGGTTGCGGCAGTGGAAACCAAGAAGATTTTTCCAGCGGGAACTCTGCGAGGATTTAATAGCCTGGGCTTCATCGAGAATCATATATTGCCATTTCACCTTTTGGAAATATTGCGCATCCAGCACAACCAACTGGTAGGATGTTACCAAAACATGGAACTCAGACTCCTTCGTGTATGTAATATGCTTGCGATCCCAAAATTTTCGTAGAACTTTTCGATCCTTGGCTGAGCCCCAATACGGTAGGACTTTGATGTTAGGAACGAATCGCGAAATCTCTTGTTGCCAGTTGTGAAGGGTCGAGGCGGGCGCAATAACGAGGAACGGGCCCCAGATATTATGCACTTCGGCGAGATAAGCCATGACGGAGATGGATTGCACAGTTTTACCTAGACCCATCTCATCTGCAAGAATGCCGTTGATGCCTTGCTCGTAGAGATTGACAAGCCAGTTCAAACCCTTTAACTGATATTCCTTCAATTGGGCAGTAAGCATCTTCGGCTGGGAAACTTCAACATCACCAAGACTTGTAGGATTCTGGAAATTCATCTCCCCTTCATCGAAGGCAGCCATTTTGTTATCGTCGTTGTTGAATGCCCGCGCCCGGTCTTGAGCTTGTTGTACGGCGTTTTGGGCATTAGCCATTGCCGCTTGCCGCAATGCCGTTTCATCTTCTGCATCGAAGTCGAGGTCTTCGAAACTGGTGACCTTTGGCGCCACTTTCATGTCGTTCTCAGGAGGGGGTATATCAAGTTTCGGGCTGGCCATATCCGCAGCAGTATCGACGCCAGCGGTGTCATCTGTCTGTTCCGCTTGACTTGTTTTTATCTTTCGGCCTATGAAATGGGAATACAGCTCTGTCTGGGAAATCAAGAAGTTCAGTTTTCGTTTCTGGCGGTTAGCCTCGCGATCAGCTTCTGCCTTCTTGGCCAGTTCCAGCTCCTGTCTCTCAGCCATACGACGCAAATCGCGTTCCTCACGCTCATTCCGTTTCCAGAATGACATCATCTCGCGCATAGTTCTCTTCGCTCGAGCTTGAGTATCCTTCATACTCTTGTTGGTACGTTCTTGCCATTTACGAGCCTGTTTGCTGGCCAGCTGGGCGGTCTTACGGAGGTTCTCCTGGCGAGTGCTCAATGAAGCTGCCTTGATACGATAGACTTTGGGTACATCTTTTCGAGAAATCTCTCTCCAGATAGCCTCGTATAGCATGTTGTAGGCCTTGGATTCGAATGGCGTAGTGGTAGGAGAAGGGGTCGTTTCCTTGGAGAGGGCACCTTTGGCCTCTTTCTTCAACGCTTCCTTCTTCGAATCCTCCTTGGGAGCAAGAGGAACAAGCTCGTCATCCTTCTCCATGGCAGCATAGGCAGCTTCCGCAGCATCTTTTTCGGCCTGTTTCTTCTCCTTGGATTTCTTCGGTCGCAAGGCGGAGCCAGACTTGCCAGACTTTCTCTTTGGCGGGGGAGATTTCGAAGCGACATGGAAAGTGCTGGTAGTGCCGCCTTCGAGGTTCGGAGCCATCGGGGTTACTTCACTGATTTCCTCAGGCTCATTTCCTCGCTCCAAGGCACGTTTCGTACTCTTGATCTTCTTGCGAGACTTTTCAACCTCGCGCATCAGGCGTTCTTTCTCCACGGCATCTTCTGCTTTAATGGCTTTCTGGCGAGCCTCATCCATTTTCTGGGTCTCAAGACGGACGGTGTTCTCACGACGCCGTTTTCTTTGCATGTCCTTCTTCCGTTCCTTTTCATCCTGGAGCTCCTTCTGTTGGACTTCGATTTGAACGGCAGCCTCATGCTGATTGTTAAACCGTTCAGTCCCATTTAGTAGTTGTTTCTCGAAAACTTTGGCCAGGGAGCTCAAGAATTCAATTTGGCGTCGCTATAAAGAAAAGTGTTGTTAGCTTGACAGAGAGACCACGAGACGAGCTCCCAGTTTAATTTTTTTTTTATTATTATTTTGGTTCGTTTCGATTTTTTTTATTTAAAGAAAAAAAAGGTTCATAACATACCCTCCGTTTCCGTGCTTCGATGGCCTCCACCTCACGAGCTCGTTTCTTTCCCTTGCGGATGTAACGCGCCCACTCAATTTCAAATCCTGGAGCTTCGAGCTCACGCTTGTCCATGGAATCAATGTGGTCCATCGCTTTAACAATCCTATCGTTCTCGCGGTCAGATACGGGCTTCCTTGACCTTGAATTTGTTGTAGGGGCAGCGGATTTTGTTGTGGATACGCCGTTGGTAGATGGGCGGGGTGAAATGTCGCTGTAAGAAGGTTCCAAGTGAACGAGTTGGCGGCGCCTTTCCGAGCTGGACTGCTTGGGTTTTTCAACTTTGGGCGCTGGGGCAATTGTCAAAGGTTCATTCACTTTGTTGACCCGGGGTGGGGAGGTAGTTTTCCGCGGAGGGCGTTCCTCAGTCGGAGCTGAAAGGATGCTTGCAAATGACATCGGGTCTGTTCTAGTTGGTTTCTACACGAAAACGAGTAAGTCAGCTCATAATAATACTGGTAAAGTAATATGTATATCGATATATATATATATATAGTGATAATAAAGGCAATTCAAACAAAGAGGATTATCCACGTACTGATTCCTTCGTGGAAGCAGGTCTCGAATCGCGCATCAAGGACGACTGAGACGAATAGCCCATGCTATTCGGTCTAGTATCATGCATAGTCTCGTGGTCACGCTTTGGCGATCGCGTGATCGATTCGGTCCCACCGTGCGGGTGATTGTGGGAGGGGACCTGCTGGCCGTAGAGGTTTGGAGGCGGGGAATGGACAGACGAGGACATATTTGAGCTACCATACGGACGATGTGTGGAGAACTGAGGGGTCGCCGATGTCGAATGGGCGTGGTATGATGGGGAAGTGTCAGGATGGGATGCTGATCCGTTCAAAGGGGGAAGAGTGGGATTCATCATCGGAGAAGGGGCATGGCCGAAGCGCGGGCTCCGGGCCATGGAGGAAGGGGGGTACGCTGGGGGAGTATGAGGAGGTGCCTGGTACGGGTCATTGTTGGGGTAGGAAGATCTGTCTCTCGAAGTGGGCGAGTAGCTTGCGAAGCGAGGCTGCTGGGTGGGAGAGTGAACGGTGTAGGGCGGCCCTCCTGCCATCACGAGCAGCTCAGCCTCTTCTTGGAGCGGAAGCACGCGTTGGGAGAGAGGGACCAAAAGAGACAGATGGGCCGCGGAGTTGGGTATGGGCCGGCAGTTGAGGTAATTAAATTCTGTCTTGTGCTGGCAAGAAAAAGGAGAAACTTGGGATTAAGGAATGGAGATCGCCATGAAGTTTAGGACAAGAACGAGAAAAAAAGAAAATGGATTGGTTGCCCCCGAGAATCCGTGTGAGCCGGGCTGTTGGATAGGGCGTTGTCAGCCAAAACCATAAGTGAGAGGTATATAGAAAAAAAGTTTTCTCGTGGGTTGGTATAGAGGTAAATTGAAGGTAGAGACATTCGGGAATGGAAAAAAAAGTAGGGATGAGAGGATGGGAGAAGACACTGTACCTGAAGCTGGCGAGAGGAAAAAAGAAGCGGGTGTTTTTGGATCTGGCCGTTCTGTCCTGACACCAAGCACGAAACCAAGGGACGAAGGCTAGTGGATTCGCAGGAAGCAGAAGGCTATAGAAGACGATGATTGGTGGCAAGTCAGGAGTGAGGATACAGAGGATGGTGAGGGTGGAGGAGGAGGAGAGGATGATGGTGGTGGTGGTGATGGTGGTGGTGGTGATGGAGCTGAAGGCGAAGACGACGGGCGATGGTGGTGGATGGCGAGGGCGGCGCCTTCATGGTTGGTGTGTGGTGGTTGTGTGGACCAGGACACTTGGTTGTGGTTGTTGGTTGTGGTTGTGGTGCGTGCGGGCGGAAGCAAATCCCCTGACGCAGGACGCTGGACGCTGGACGCTGGACACTGGACACTGGACACTGTGGAGAGAGAGAGAGAGGGTTTGGTGACTCTGGCCAGGCGGCGGCTGCGGGCTGCCCTGCGACGGGGCGTATTTCCCCGTACGGACAGCCGCGGGTACACGGCCAGTGTGTGGGCATCCGCTGCAGCTGCCGCGTAAATTACGGGTATTCATCTTACTCGTATCGTCAAATACGCCATGGTGTTACAGCCAGATCCCCATCTGTGAAAAAGCTACTAGCACTGGGAGTTGATCCGCGCAAAAAGGAGTGGGCAGTAGTATTCATGGGCTTTGGATTTTTGAGATGGGACAGAGATTGTGATGGCAATGGCAATAGCTACTGTATTCACTATACCAGTCACTGGCTGGGAATTGGCTGGGAATTGGCTGGTGTCAATCCACCAAGTCCGATGTCAATAGGGACTAGTAAGTTTACTATCTATCAATAGGTACAGTAAGCACCATGGCATCGGCCAGAGCGATGGAAACAACACCAAGAAAACAAAGGGGGAGAGAGAGAAAGAGAGATTTCTCTGAACCCCCATTATTGACCTCTCCCGCCCTTTGAACCCCTCCAGCTGCTTCCCGCACCTCTCCAGCTCCCCGGATCTCTTTGTTCTCAACCTCACAGGGCCTTCCTTACCCTTCGCCCGCTTTCTGATCCCATCCAATTGCAAACGCTATCACATCCAATCAAAACCCCCTCCCCAGCAAGTCAGTACATCATGACATCAACGACCAATTGGCACTGCAAACTTAATTAACCACTTGGAACTTGTTCTCGCCGCGAAT